GTCAATATAATAATTCAAAAGTTGTTGTAATAGTATTATTGGATTTAGAGTAATTGATGATCGGCCAAGATATAGTAAACTAGATTATAAGATCCTGCTAATAACGTTACACTTTTTTATTTATACACAAACAAAGCTTCTTTTGTTGGGACCTTTGATAAACCATCACCATTAATTAAACGCAGTTTTGTAATTAATCATGATTGGGAAGGATTTCAAGTAACGTTGAATATCGGGTCATAAACTCGTACGGGCGCCCATGGCTGGTCGACCCATTGGGTATGATTGAGGTGTCTTTTTTATCATTCAAATGATGTATTTGTTAATTCACTAACAAACATACCTTATTGCATTCAATACACTCATTGGTTACGTATATAAATCTCAATTTTTTTTTAAAGCAAGACAAAATCTCTTTTATCTCTGAGGTGAGGATGGCCTCATATAAATTCGTTTGTCCAAGGTGGATGCTCGATCCAATTGATCTTTCACAAGGGCCATTGCACCTATTCTCCGCAATCGTTAGATCTATCTCGAGTACGGTCACTATACTCCAGTTTTTCAGTCGGTTGGTGCAATTTCAACGATCAAAACTCTCATACTTGCTCTTTCTCCCTGCATAACATTTAAGCATGTTTTTGGGGGCTACTAAAAGAGAAAAATGAAGTAAATGGACTAGATGTTGATTCATTTTATCTAATAATATTGTATCACTAGATTAGGTACAAAAGACATTAATATTGAATATCTGAAGTACGTGTAACATCTTCTAAAAATTTTCAAATTAAAGCGAAAAAAATATATCTTTAATCATTCCCTTGTACGCTTATATATTATTGCAACAATATTATCTTATAAAGACCAGTTATCAAAACTACTTAATCTCCTCTATTGCCATGAAGAGGGCAAATTTCAATCACATTTCCTATCACTTAACTTTCTGGGTGATGGAGAGGAGTAGCAAAATTGAAAGATAAACTCGGGACAAAATTAATTAGGCATTGTTTTTTAGTCTCGTTAAACAATTCACTCTCACTCATCATGTCATTACCATGCTAACTTAAATAGCCAAACATTTATCTTGGAAGGAAGATTGAACACCAAGCCTTCGTTGCTCCCCCAAACCAAAGAGAGAGAAGAAGTGATGCACTCTTTTCAATAAGACAACTTCCCCCAAACCAATGTAATAATTTGTTTAGTGAAACTAATTAATATTAAAAATTTATGTGAATAATTCAGTTATCCAATTCAATCTAATCCAACTCATTAATTTATTAACACATTGGCCGGATTATTGTTTCATTTGTTAGCTGGACATCGAGAGTTTCATCAGTTTCCTTCTTTGCAGTTTAAAAAAATACTATCAACTCAATGACCTACATTCAATGAAGTTTATTTCTCGAGGCTAATGGAAGCTCCTAACTTAAAAGATAGCTCAAGTGATAACAGAAAAAAGACGTCTTGTCAAATTTTTTAGGACCATGCAATGAGGGATTTATCCCTCATGAATACCCTAATCCCGGCGTGGATGACTTACTTTTGACCAGATAAAAAAGAGATCAATCGAAGTACGCATAAGCTGATTCAAACACTCTCTAATCGTTGACCTAATAAAAAATAAAAAAAAGTAGGAATTCCCATACAATATATGATTGAAACCCATTTTTCGTTATCGTACTTTTATTTTTCCGACAATGAAATATTACACATGTATATATTTTTTTAACTTTTAATTTTTTAATTTAAATCTTCTAATTCAAAATAAACAGCCAATTTTATTTTCGGAGGAGTTTAGGTGCCAAATTGTTCTTCTAACCCGAATATAGACCCCCACTGACATTATTACTTTCCTTGGTGCTGATAGATGGTGTAGCACTCCAAGGACCAAACACCACCATAACTCGCGAAGCACTGAATCAAACATATAATTTTCAGTTACTTTCCGTTTCATTACCGCGCCGGAATCAGGTGTTTTCTGTCTTTCCAGACTCGTAGGATCAAACTAACATCTTTTTTTTGCGGGCATGTTTTTGTTTATCGATAGGTAGAAGATGTTGAAATTCTTGAAAGGCGTCGTTGCCGGATCTGCTGCGGGCCTTAACGATCTACCTTACAACATCGGCGAACCTTATGCCTCTGCTTGGGGCTCTTGGACTCACTATCACGGTACCTCCAAGGTAATTCAACAACACCATCTCTCTCTCTCTCTCTCTCTGTTTCTTTCTTTCTTTCTGTCTGTCTATTCACTCATATATACATATTCGTGACTATGTCTCTATGTCACTGTAGATTTCTCTGTTCAACCGAGGCCATGATATCGTTTATCATTTGTTCGGATATAGTTTTGATATCTTTAACCTCGAATTGTTAATATTAGTTTTGATCCAAACTAATGTCGTTGAATCAAGTGAATTAGGGCAGTTAGGGCTACTGAATTCTCTGAATCGGGGCATAATTTTCAATGTGTCTGTTTGGGTGGGGTTTATCGATATGTTTGATTGAATTGACTGATTAGTGCATCTCCGAGAGTAGGTAAAAGGAACAAAAACTTCAAAATTTAGCTATTTTGTCCTAAAATTCTAACAGAGTATCTCCAATGCATGTAAAATAGTATTTTGCAACAGTAGTACTCTAAATATGTATATACATTTTTTATAATATTTTCTCTCGCTCCTTTTTTTTTCCTACATTCTCTTTTTTTTCTCTTTTACTATTCCCAAAGAAAAATAATACAAAAAGAATGAGAAATAATATTTAAAGAAAATAGTTAAAAATATAGAAAATCCGTTGGAGGGTGTATTGAAAAAATGAGTAGCTAAAATAGAAAATGTTGTTTTTTGAGTAATTAAACTAACTTTTTTTTATTGGAGATGCTGTTACTGGAGTGATGAGATCCGAAACTGATAAGAAATTGACAAGTATAATTGAACTGTTTGATGGAAGCTTTATGGCTTTCGTTTTCCGCATCCTGCTTTACTGGGAATGAAGAATTCATGGTTAGCGGTAGTCAAATGGAAGTTTTAACTGTATGTAAACTCTCTTCTTATCACCAAACTTTTTTTCACCTTCTCAATAGCTGATGCCACCCATCTTTGTTTCTTTAGAGTTGGAATCTCAACTAATTTGTTATATATGGCTACTCTGATACCAAATAATATTAATGGTTTCCGGTGCTTAAGAATCTAATGTTCTATTTGGTAGGAAGGATAAAAAATAGGAGAAATACACTTTCTATTTTTCAAGGATGAAAAGTATGAAAGATACATTTTCTTTCCTTTGTGTTTGGTTGGATTTATGAAAAATAAAAATGACTATTTTTTTTTTGTGCTGGCTAAGATTAAAAGTGACAATAAATTCGAGTCGTGTCGTGTCAGATTCGTGTTGAGTTATTATGAGTTTGTGTCGAATATTAGCCAAACATAACTTAACTCATTTAATTAATTGTGTCGTGTCGAGTTGCGAATTGACCTATTTATTTTCGTATCGAGTTCGAGTCGTGTTATCGTGTTGAGTCAAAATTTTCACCCTTAGTTAAGATGGAAAAAATATTTTTTTAATATTTTTTTTTTTTAAATTTAAAATTTTCTTTATTTTTTATTTTTTTTAAAATTAATTTTTAAAATATATATATACATTTTTTACCATTGTATTTTTATATGAAATTAATGTATATATAAGATATATAGACAAATAAGATACATTTCAACACTAATAATTAACTTTTCATCTACTTTTCTTCCGATTTTGGAAGTATTGATTTTAGTCAGTTGGAAGTAAAAATAATACATCCACTTTTTCATCTTTCCTACTTTTCTTTCTTAGCAAATATGATATTTTATTTAGGTTAATCTCATTTTGCACCCCGAAAGATCGTTCGAATCTCAATTTACACCCTCAAAGATTAAAAATCTCAATTTGCACCCTCAAAGATAGAAAATTATATCAATGTACACCCCTAAAGATCAAAAATCTCAATTTGCACCTTCAAAGATAGAAATTTGTATCAATGTACACTCCTAAAAATCAAAAATCTCAATTTACACCTTCAAAGATAGAAATCTGTATTAATGTACACCTAAAACTAAATTGATAAATTATACCTAGATCCACTCATGTTTGTCACTTAATCATTTGAACCCCTTCACATTTAGAATATTACCCCTACATCTCATGACATTTGTACATGTGTAAACATAACCACTTTTCGTTGATATCTATTAATATAATCGTTAAAAAATATGATTTTATCCTAATAAAAAATTATAATTTCATATTACCCTTTATTTTGTGGATTCGATATACTTTAAAGTTCAAAATCAAGCTTACCATTTGAATGTCTAATAGAATGTAGATATTTATAAAAAGGAAAATATGAAAAACATTATATAAATATCTACATTTTATTAGACATTCAAATGGGAAGCTTGATTTTGAACTTTAGAGTATATTAGACCCATAAAATAAGGGTAATATGAAATTATAATTTTTTATTAGGATAAAATTATATTTTTTAACGGTTTATTAACAGATATCAATGAAAATGGGTTACATGTTGTACGTGCATAAATGTCATGAGATGTAGGAGTAATATTCTAAATGTAAAGAGGTCCAAATGATTAAGTGACAAACATGAGAGGATCTAGGTATAATTTATCAATTTAGTTTTAGGTGCATAATGATACAAATTTCTATATTTGAGAGTGCAAATTGAGATTTTTTATCTTTGGGGTGCACATTGATATAAATTTCTATCTTTGAGGGTGCAAATTGAGATTTTTGATCTTTGGGGGTGCACATTGATACAAATTTCTATCTTTGAGGGTGCAAATTGAGATTTTTGCTCTTTGAGGGTGTAAATTGAGATTTGAACTATCTTTCGAGTGTAAAATGAGATTAACCCTTTTATTTATCTATCTAACTTTTCATCTACTTACTTTTCTATCGTACCAAATGAAACATAATATTCAAAGTGGTAAGCATTATGTTACTAATGAATCTTTATGACCATCTCGTTGGACCTATTGCACATTGCGTTCAAAAGAAAGCCGGAGATGTTTCTTAAGCTGAGGTTAATGGTGATTGGTGATTACCCTATGGCTTTAATGTAGACTAGGTTGCAGCAGCTGAGTGCTTAGAACATATTGACCGCCGTGCCTTCAAAACACAAGGAAAGAATAAAAAAGTAATAATAGAGACAAAATATATTATGCTCAAAATTTAGTGGGACTAGTGGTATTTGATCTAGATCAAGCAATCAACATTTATTGCTTCGCGTTGAACTCTTTTAGTTTTGGATCAAATTTCATCGTTTAGGCCCTCAAAACCCTGTTTTTACTATTAAAAAATATTTCAAAAATTAATAATAAATCATAGGAGATTTCAAATTCAGCATCGTTAGTTTCATTAGACTCCAGACAACACGTACTTTTATGTTAATTAGGAAAATCACATATTTCTATTTTTTGTAATTTTAAGGATTTTGTTTCCGTTTTAGGAACAATTAGGATTTTGGCCATTCCTATTTATATTGCTCCTTTGTGCTGCGAATTATGCATTCAATAATATTATGTTTCAGAATTTTTCTCTATTTTCTATGTGGACTCAGAGTACTCCTTTTGGTTCGATACATAAAAAATCATAGTATTCTTTGTGTTCCTTCAATCCATTGCATCAGGCTTGCAGGAATTCTATGCACTTTCTTTTCTTTTCTTTTTTCCCTTACCAATGTGGGTTTCAGGTGGAAGTTGGTTGGCCTCTAATTCTTGTTTTTTTTAAGATGATGGGTCTCCAGTGTCAATATTTTTACTTTCATGAAGTAATGCCAATGATGGACACTTAGCTGCTGGTCGTAATGGTGTCAAGCGTCTTCATACGGTAAGTTTGTGGTGGATTAAATAGTGAAAAGATCATATGCTCATCAATGGATCTTCCTCAGCAGTTTATTATTTTTTTTTTTAAAAAAAAAATTCTTCCTCAGTATAAGCCTACTATTAGATGCTCTTGTTTTTCTTAACTCTATAGGCACAGATTTTGATGTCATGCAGTGAATTTTTGTTTTATTCACAAATAATTAGCTCTAGGTGGATTTTTGGTGATTCATGTGCAACCATATCTGTTCCATTACAAACATTTTAAGTTTTGTCAACATCTTTAGACTGATTATTTGTGATGTTCAAATCCATATTTGGTAAATTTAGAGGATTTTATGAAAACAACACGGTTGTAATTTGGACTATTCTCTTAATTGACATGTAACGTATATGCTATACTAGATACTAAATATCATCCATACACCATAGATACAATCCATCCCAACTACTATAGAAAATCATATACTAGTATTAAAAGTGAGACGTAAATTCAACTCTAAAGTTAATGCCATGTGCTCCAAAGACTGCTGCTTGCAGAATTCCAGATCTGCCGTTCTTCTCATCCTTGCGTGCCACATCAATATTGTTTTTGTTGCAAGATAACCTACTTAAGCAAAACTTACAGTTGTTGGATCTTTTTTTCTTTCTGCAAATTTTATTATCTTAGGATTAAAATTTGTTAATATCCCTCGAAATCGTTGTTTTGGGGCATATCATTAGAATTCACAACCTTGTTTGTTTCTTTTGTCGAATATTCCCTTTTTTTTTAATCGAGACCATTTTTTATAGGAAACGAGGAAATATTATTAATGATAAAAGTGAAAAGTACATGAGAGGACAAGGATGCTTTAAATTATTGCAAAATGATTTGTAAAATCCAAAAGAACAATTGACAAGCTAAAAATATAAAATGAATCGGAACCATTTGATTTGAACATATGATTTTAGATGGTTCTATGTTTGTTGGGAAGAATGTGTGGAAATATCAAATAAAATGATCCTTGAACATCCGGTGTGGATTGTTATTGTAGATCTGAGAGGATCTGTTTTGTGAAGGGGTTTGTACCTAGTCATACTCATGTATCTATTGGTGGTGCTTGCTTCTTAGGGTTACACGTGAACTTGAATTAGTTGCAAATTGTTGGAGTTATAATCTAGTATTAGGGTTTTTCTTTTTTTTACCCTTACTATGACTTTTATGTCTTGCTTAGACTAGAAGGATGTTCAGGTCGTTTTATATTATTGTTTAGCTATACATACGGGGTTTTACACTTAGTTTGTATCCCTTTTGACTCATATGTATCTCTAATTGGTATCAAAGCCAAAACCCTAGCCTCCATCTCTAACCTTAACCGTAACCCTAACCCTAGCCTTCATCACGTTCCAACAACTTGTAACCACCATGCCATGCCACCAGTGACAACACGTGGCGATAGCAACTTGACCAGACCAGCCCCAGCCACACCCCACCACCAAACTAGCCCCAACAGCGACAGCAACAGAAACCAGACCAGACTAGCCTTCCCATACCCCAGTCAACACACCTTCTGTCGACTGAGGTGTGGTGGGGCTAGTCTGGTCTGATTGATGTCGTTGGGTTTACACCCTGAAATTTCTTGCGAATGGTACTATTGATCGTCACAAGGTTAGGGTTATGACGAAGGGCTTTACTTAGGTATCATGTCGTGATTTTAGTGCTACCTTTACTCCCTTGGTAAAATTGACTACAGTTGGATTGATTATTTCTCTTACTGCAAAGTACTCTTAGCCTCTTCATCAGTTGGATGTGAAGACTGCATTTCTTCACGGTGATCTGGACAAGACTATTTATATGGATACACCATCGGACTTTCGTGGTGAGGGAGAGTATGTTGGGAAGGTGTGTCAACTGTGTAAGTCTCTTTATGGATTGAATCAGTCATCATGAACCTGACTCTCTCAGTTTAGTGGTGTAGTTGTACGTTTAGAATTCACCAAATGTCATTATGATCATACATGCTTTATTCGATGAAATACTTTTGGACAATGTGTCATCCTTTTAGTATATGTGGATGATATTATATATTATTGGGGATGATGTTTCTGGGACTACACAGGTCAAGGTAGACCTTGGGAAGACTTTCAATGTGAAGGACATTGAATTTCTGCGATATTTTCTTGGGATTAAGGTTATCTGTACCAGTAAGGGTATTGTTCTTTCTCAGAGAAAGTATGTTCTGGATCTTCTCTCAGACACTGGGATGTTAGGGTGCAAACCAACATCATCACCCATAATTCTAAACCTAAAGTTTATTGCTAAAGGTAAGGAGTTGAGAGATCCGACTGTCTATCAAAGGTTGGTAGGTAGACTTATCTACCTAACCAACACTAGGCCAAACATTTTATTTGCTGTCTGTCAAGTTAGTCAGTTCATGCATAAGTCGTGTCAGTCTCATCTTGATGCCGTTTATTATATTATTAGGTACCTCAAGTCTTGTCCTGAACTTGGATTGTTCTATGCATCAGAATCTCAGACTGGTTCTCTAGCCTGTTATTCAGATTCAAATTATAGGAGAGCGTGTGGTGTGACAGTTGATTTACTATACAGGCTTCTATACTTTTTAAGGGACTCATCTTATCACTTAGAAGAGCAAAAAGCAGGCAGTTGTCTCCCGCTTGTCAACAGAGACAGAGTATCGAGCATTGACAATTGACACATGAAAGATTATCTGGTTACGATCGATTCTTGGTGAGTTGGAATTTTCAATGACTTCTCCATCAACATTATATTGTGATAATCAATCTGTTATTCAACTCATTTCTGACTCTGTACTACACGAGAGGACGAAGCATATAGAGATCGATGTTCACTTTTTTTAAGAGAAGGTTAGCCGTGGTATTGTCTCTCCATCATTTGTGAGAACCAGTGATCAGGTTGCAGATGTTTTCACTATACGGATTACTCTATCTATTCTCCGGGGCTCTGTTTTCAAGTTTGACTTAGTTGATATTTTTGCGCTTAACCTGAGGGGGAGTGTTGGAGTTATAGTCTAGTTTATTAGGGTTTTTCTCTTTTTTACTCGTACTATAACTTGTTCAAGTCGTTTTATATTATTGTATGACTATATATACGGAGTTCTACACTTAGTTTGTATCCCTTTTGACTCACAGATATCTCTAGTCAAATCATCATCTCAATTTACCATTTTGAAATTCCTCTAATATCGAGGTTGAAGTTTTCATAAACTTTTTTTTTTTTTGGTTATTTTCTTCAGATATTTATTAGAATTTTAATTCCGTTTATTACATGTCTGATAAGGAAAACAAAATCTTCTTGAACTTGTCCCAATCTTTGGTTATGGTGCCTGGGAACCCAAGGCTTTAAGATTCTCATTTAGCTCTTAAATTTTGGTCCCTTACTAGGGATGTCGAAGTGTTTCATGAGAATATTTTTGTTTTGACCTGTGCATATTTACATCTTGTTATCTATTTTAAATTGCCTTGTTCTGGATGTACTTGGCATTATGAGCTGTTATTTGCTTTTCCAGGTCAGGCATCCAAATATTTTATCATTTCTTCACAGTACTGAGGCTGAAACTTTTGATGGTTCAAATACCAAGGTTACTATCTATATTGTCACTGAGCCTGTTGTGCCACTGTTAGAAAAGATCAAGGAATTAGAATTAGGTGGTACACAAAGGTATATGAAATTTCGTCGACTGGATTGATTGTCCTTTTGGTTAGCTTACGGAGCACATGTTTGTAGTCTCTTTATGTAGATTACTACCCTCTCGATACAACATCAATATGTGGTTCGCATTTAAATAGTCACCTGGTGTGTAATAATTCCACTTGGAGTGAGCAAACATTTGTAAAACCTCTTTGTCTCGTATACCTTAGCTGTCTTGATCTCATTTTTCAACTTCTCTTTTTTCTATATTAATTGTTGCAGTGTGTCTATCTGAATCAAACATCTGTTGCAGCTTCCATGTGTTTCAAATATATCTTGCCTCTCAAGCTTACTTTGAACTGTTATACTTTTGTCTGATGGCAGGGATGAGTATTATGCATGGGGACTTCACCGGATAGCTAAAGCTGTGAGCTTCTTAAATAATGATTGTAAGCTTGTAAGTATTTTTAATGGATTTTTGCTAAATATGTTCGTATCAAGTGTTATGATTTGTCACAACCTTTAGGCATATATAAAAATTTAAAATGTTTTCTTTAGACAAATTTTAAAAGTTAATGGATTCAACTGAGTTATTTACATGGACTTATGTGCAGGCATGCAGCATCTATTTTGATTTTTTTTCCCTATCCTTTAGAGAGAGAAAATAAGAAAAAGGGAATTTAAAATTGGGCTCCTGCTGATGCCCTAGAGGTGCTGACGATGCTAAGATTTAGCTTAGGGGAAGACCTCTTTATATCTGCGACAATATTCCCAATTGCTGACATTTTGCAGATGCAGCAAAAAATCCTTTCATGGTGCTGCAAAATTTTGAGCTACTATTATTGGATTTGTTCCAAATGCAGGTTTTTGATATGCATTGTCATTCATAAATCATATGAAAAGTTGGTTGTGTTGAGGATAGAGATCTCATATTTTATTGCACCTTGTTCTGTTTCTTGTATTTTTCCTGCTTTTATAACTATGATAGTAGATTCTACTTAAGATGATTAAAGTTGATCTCCCCCTCATCCCTCCTTCTCCTCCCCCTTGGCCTCCTTCTCTCTCCTTTTATACATACACACACATATAGGTATATTATATTATGTTGGGTTTGGTTTTTGAAAACTTTTGGTAATGCAGGTTCATAGTAATGTTTGTCTGGCCAGTGTTGTTGTTACTCAAACATTGGACTGGAAGCTGCATGCGTTTGATGTACTATCCGAGTTTGATGGAAATAATGAAACTTCTTAGGGACCAATGCTGGTGATCATTTGTTTGGATTTTATTGTTGGCTTTCCAACTTCTAATGTGATGTTCGTCAGAATTAATTTGGGCTTCTTATTGTTTATTATTGGTCCAGCAATATGAGTGGCTTGTTGATTCACAATACAAATCGATGGAGTTGCTAAAGTCTGATTGGGCAACAATTAGAAAATCTCCACCTTGGGCTATTGATTCTTGGGGATTGGGTAAGTCTTTCATTGCCCCTTCTGTTGTTTTGGTAGTTTTTTTTATTCATTTGGTAGACATGATCTTCTCATATCGCGGGATTGCTAAGAGCAATATTCTTTTGTTCTAATCTGAAGATACCAGATGGAGCATATAGTATTCGTGATATTGCATTTATCTTGGTATTTTTTGCTTGCATCCACTTTCGTGGGATAGTTGTTATTTGTTGGAGCTAGCAACGACTCTTGTATTTGGGTTGGTGATATAATCTATATTCCCTACAACGGCTTTGGCAATTCATTGCTATTGGGGCTTGTGCACATTCTACTACTTAGTGGATTCCTATGCCTGCGTAGAAAATGATCAAGATTCATACTTTACTAGAAGAAGGTGCACATTGTCAAAATTCAACCAACTGCGAGCAGTAAAATTGTAATGCATTGTGTGACATTTTTCTTTTGATTAGATGTCAGGCACTGTGCAATTGAAGCTTTTTTTAGTCATTAGGAATATCCATGGTTCAAGGCTGCAGGATCAGCTATCAATTCAGATGCCACTGAGACAATTGGTTGTGGTGTTGCAGAATGCTATCAATTGATATACACGAAATGTTAGATAGAACTATAGAAGAACATGAACATGGCAATAGATTCAGCTCATATTGCAGTGTCGTGCAACAATATTGGCCGATTTGGAGAGGGTGCCTCATACAATTAGACCGAGTCATGTGAGACTCGTGATTTACATAGAATATGGAATAGTATCGCCCGAGCGACGCCTTTTGATCTCCAATTTTGTCTTCTAATGTATGGAACTATAACTCGTGTAGTATATTTTAAACAGCAGTCTAATTTCTCTTTTAATGGTAGGTTGTCTTATTCATGAACTTTTGTCTGGTATGAAGCTAAGCAAAACAGAAGAGCTGCGTAATACTTCTTCCATACCGAAGGTCAGCATATTATTCTAATTGGTGAGGTAGTGACTTAAAAGTTCTGTTTTTGTGCTCATTGTTGTGTTATGTTGCTTTTACTTCCAGTCATTTGGAATGTGTTGAAATATAATCCAAAAAGTCATTTTCTTTTGCATCTGTCTATTTTTCTGCGTCACAGTCTTTATTTCCAGATTATCAATGACTCTTGAGTTCGATGCCTTCTCGCAGGTTGAATTCATCAAAGCTTGTGGAAAACTGTGGTAAGCTCACTAGACACTTCTTCTAATGCTTGAAGTGTTTGTTCGTGTGAATGTTTTGAAGTGTTTGTTATAGTCCATAGTGGCAGCAATTAATTTTCTTACTGAATGTGGGTGGATTATTCTGTGTTATCCTTTTTCTTCATCTTTTTTTTTTGAATTTTTTGGTGTAATTTGTTAGAGTAGTCTAGTATTTCTATTTTATTAAAGTTATCATAATTCATATATTATCGGTTGATATATTCATTACTTAAGAATGTGGATTGCTATTTTGTTTCTAGGTGACTGTAGTTTCACTTTTATATAACCTGCAATCAAGCTTTAGAAGTAAATTAATGTAGGTATATGGCTCATGTATGTATGTGGATAACATATTGATTTCACAGGGTAGTTTGATGGGACTTCTTTGGTCTAAGTATTGCAGCCAGATACTTGGGCTTCTAAATGTTACTTCCCACTAGGAAGCATAGCAGTTAAATCGTGGCTGCTTGTTGTTTTTGGAATCTTTCTGCCCCTTTGTGTTTAAACTTCTAGTTTGATGTGTTTGTTGTTAGAATACGTGGCTCACGTGCCTTCAAGATTTGCTCGAATTAGGGTTGTAACTTATATATATTAAGGTGTAACCCTGTTTTGGTGTGGAATAAAAAACAAGGCAGCCGCTCTCTCGGATGTAGACAAGTTGCCGAACCACGTAAAATTCTTGTGTTCATCTTCTAACTTTCTGTTTCTTTAATTGATCATCGCACACAAATCACAACATATGTGTATGTTTTTCTTCTTCCTGTCTTTTCAGTTAGTGTAGCTCTAAGGGTAATAGCCTAGAATCATGATGGTATAGCCTTCATTATTCTTGTCTGTATGAGCTCTGGTGACCTCATTTTCTTGGGTATTTAAGTTTAAGAATGATATTGGTCCTGCTTTCATGGATAGGAAGTGGTCCTGTTATCTAAAGAGTAAATAGCACTCAATTACTTTGCCAACTTCCTGTAATACTGCTGGATGGATGATATGGTGCACATTCAATTGTAACTGTTGTTGTCCTTTAAAAAGTTGAAAGGGTAATATGCCTGTCTCTTTGCAGGTTAAGTTTCTTTTTTGTCTTACAGTATGTTTTATGATATAATAATCAGTGAGTGCCATTTTGTGTCCTATTTCTGCGATCTTGTTCATTTAACGTTTTATTTTACGAATTGGTATACAATCTATGAATTCATAAGCTCATCTATGTTACATTTGACCTCGTCTGACTAGTTCTTTCCTTTTGATTAAAAAAATGTCCATGGAAATGCAGTATGCTTGTTTACCTCTAGCCATTTATGCTTGTCATTACATGTTCCACTTATGTTACTTTGCCTTACTTATTCCAAGATTGGAGTGCTTTTTCCTACCTTCTGTGTTCTTTGGTCAATATTAAAGTGCAAAGCATGTATTTGCAGAATATTTTCAAAATAAATTGGTGGAGACCATACAGTTCATGGAAATTCTTAATTTGAAGAACAGTGTTGAGAAGGATACATTCTTCCGTAAGCTTCCAAATTTAGCAGAGCAGCTTCCTCGCCAAATTGTGCTGAAAAAGGTGCCTACCCAATTTTTATTGGAGGAGATTTTACTTTTATTTTGTTGTGCTTATTAATGTGTGTTCATCATCTTGTCCTCTGATTTTTGTAGTTACTTCCTTTACTAGCTTCGTCCTTAGAATTTGGTTCGGCTGCTTCCCCTGCTTTGACTGCATTGTTGAAAATGGGTTCATGGCTTTTGACTGAAGAATTTAGCGTTAAGGTCATACTCCTTAGTTTTGTGTTGTGGCTTCTTTGTGGTTACTATTTTAGTGTATTTGGCTTGTGTAAGATTTATTGCCGCTATTTTGTAGGTACTGCCAACAGTTAAACTTTTTGCCTCCAACGATCGGGCTATTCGAGTTGGTTTGCTGCAACACATTGATCAATATGGGAAGTCATTGTCAGCAAAAATTGTTGATGAGCAAGTATGCAGCCAGTCATAAGATGATTATACTTTCATATGATTCAAGGCTTCAAGCACATTGATTTTATTAATGTTCTTGGCACAGCTTTTTTAATCCTCCTTAATCATGATAGATTGGGACAGTGAATATTGCTAGTAATGATTTTGATTAGGTTTACTCTCGTGTTGCTACCGGGTTCTCAGATAATTCTGCATTTCTTCGGGAATTGACGCTTAAATTCATGCTTGTTCTGGCTCCTAAGGTACATGCACCTTATTCTTTTGCTTGAAGGATCTTTTCTTCATGGTGTTTGGAATGCAAAATTTTAGATGAAGAGAGTGTCAAAATTTATGAGAATTATGTGTTGTAGCAGGTGAAGTAAGAATATGATAGTGGTTACTTCTTGTTAGCATATTACTTCCTTTTTGTGATCAGACTCTAATATGTTTTATTGATGATAGGAAAGACCAAGGACATCCTCCTCCAAAGTGGAGTAAAAAGCTATTACTTTAGTTCTTGTTCGATAATTAAGTGACTATGATTCCTTATTAATTCATTCGATCAATTAGAAGTCTTGGTTGAGTGGCTAGAAGTTTTCTACCCTTGTGTATGGCAAAAATATGTTCTGATCTCTGAGCAATGCCTGAAAGCTTTTCGCTAGGACTAACTCAGTTATTCTTCCAAATCCTTGCACAGGCAGATCTTTGTTTCTTTTTATTTTTGAGAGAGATATTGTTCTTTTAATATTCTCATAGAACTGCTGAGATCATGGCATTGGCTGGAAATAGGCTACTTGATCTTGAGTTGAGTTGGCTTAGCATGTGGTTTACATTTTACCAAGATATCATACAAGTTTTATTCGTAGAATGTTCTTGGAAAAAGAAAGAAAAGAAATCAATTGGAAAGGCAGCATATGAAATTCTTAATCTAAGAAGGTTTAAGTTTACCTTATCTCAATTTTATTGATGGGGTCTGTTGAGTGGATGGTCATGAAGAGTTGATTGGTTCACTGTTTTGGACTAGTCCATGTGGGACAAATTTCAGGTGAGATCTGGTTTTTGAGGGATATTGATTTGGACTGAATGCCATGCTTTTGTTCGTCAGCTGAAACTATATTATTAGCAATCAGTCTTTACCATAGGACCCCTATGAGTATGCAAGCTCAGCTCAGGTAATTCTACCTTTGTAAGAGGGACATGGCTCAAATACCACATGAACTTACATATAGGGCTTTAGATTATATGGGCAACTTCCAACATAAAAGGATTTAATACAATGATGTAGTGACTGCACAAGTCTGGCATTAGTGTGTGCCCACAAAAAGAAATAAGCAAAGGAAAAAGTATCAAAACCTGAAAATGCTCACGAACCTTGACTCCTCATATCCTTGTTATATCTCTGTCTCTCGATGTGTATGGTTAGAGTGTTCTCATGTGCATTTAATGCAGAACCAATTCTAAGCATTAGGAGCTGTTAAGTTTGGAGGATTAACATAATATTAGAGACAATATTTAGAGAGAAACAGAGAGAGGTTAACACTTAACTTAGCTCTCATACATCACTTGTATTTATAGTTAACCTACAATAATAAAAATTACACATACACCCTCTTACTATTAACAATTTACATATACTACCCTACTATTCTTAACAATCTCCCTCAAGCTGGACTATATACATCATATAATCCAAGTTTGGAACAAATAGCTGTAAGACGTGTACGGCTCAATGCTTTTGTAAACATATCTGTAAGCTGATCTTCAGATTTCACAAATAGAGTTGTAATCTCTCCAAGAATTATCTTGTCCCGAATAAAGTGACAATCAACCTCAATATGTTTGGTTCTCTCGTGAAACACAGGATTGACAGTGATATGGATAGCTGCCTAGTTGTCACAGAACAACTGTAAAGGAAGTTGAACTAAAAACCCAATTTCCTGGAGGAAGTGTAGTAGCCAAGTTAACTCACTCGTCGTATGTGTCATTGCCCTATACTCAGCTTCAGCACTGGATTTTGCTACCACGGGTTGCTTCTTACTTTTTCATGAGACAACATTACCTCCTAAGAAAGTACAATAACCAGTGGTTGATCTCCGATCAGAAGGAGAGTCAGCCCAATCAACATCTGAGAAACCTTTTACTCTAAGATGTCCATTAGCTCGATATAACAGTCCAAGTCTAGGAGCTCGTTTAAGATATCGCAGAATACGAGTAACTGTCTCCCAATGTGGTACTCTAAGGCATCCCATGAATTGACTTACTATATTGATTGCATAAGAAATATCCGATCGAGTAGTAGTGAGATAATTAAGCTTCCCAATCAATCTACGATATCGACCGGATTCTCAAACAATGCACTATCATCCATTAATAATTTCTTATTCGGATCCATAGGAACATCAATCGGTCTACCACCCAACAAACCTACTTCCTCAAGCATGTCAAGTACATATTTCCTCTGGGATAAACAAATACTTTGTTTAGATCGAGTCATCTCAATGTCCAAGAAATACCTGAGTTTTTTCAAATCCTTAGTATAAAATTGATCTGTAAGAATATTTTTAACTTGACAATCTACTCAGAATCATTTTCAGTAATCACAATATCATCTACATAAGACCACCAATAGGACATATCCAACATCTGTCTGACATCGAAGAAGGCCAAACTTTAAAACTGCATCTGAAAACTTACCAAACTATGTCCTCGGTGACTGTTTCAAACCATACAAACATTTCTTTAACTGACATACACTCTTACCATTCTCCCCCTGAGCAGTAAACCCAAGTGGCTACTCCATGTATAACTTTTCAACCAAGTCATCATGTAGGAAGGCATTCTTGATGTCTAACTGAAACAAGGGCCAATCAAGATTAGCAACCAAAGAAATCAAGATACGAACAGAAGAAATTTTGGCAACAGGAGAAAAAGTCTCCTCATAATCAATACCATAAGTCTGAGTAAAGTCTTTCGCAACAAGTCGAGCTTTGAGACGCTCCACATAACCATTTGGATGAAATTTAACAGTATACACCCAACGATAGCCAACAGTTCGTTTACCAGGGGGTAAAGGAATGAAATCCCAAGTCTCATTATGATGTAAAGCATCCATCTTCTCTTTCATAGCTTTCCTCCAACCCGGATCAAATAATGCATCCTATAAATGTTTAGGAATAGATATAGCTGATAATTGGGAAGTAAAACAGGAGAAGACAAGAGACAAGGCATCATATGAAACAAAATGAGAAATGGGATGATTAGTAACACACGAACGAATACCTTTGCGAAGAGCAATAGGTAAAGAGTCTAAATTACCTGATGTATCAGGATCAGAAGGCGGCAAGGAAGACGATACGGACACCTCAGTGGATGGGCGAGGACGGCAAGAGTAGACACGGAGAGGTAAAGTAGATGGTAACACAATAGGTAATGGAATATCTGAAGGTGAGGAAAGAGATGGTGGCTCAGGAAATGATCCAAAGTCCAGATCCAAAGGCTGAGAAGTTGTTGGAAAGTATGGAACAGATTCTTCAAACGTGACATCAGCACTAGAAAAGTATTGGTGCAGAGAATAATTGTAGCAACGATACCCCTTCTGTGTGCAGGAGTAACTAAGAAATACACATTTGATAGCTCAAGGGTCAAGTTTGTCAAATCCAGGACCCAAATTATGAACATAACAGACACATTCGAAAAACTTAGGAGTCAGAAAAAATAAGGGTTTACCAGGAAAATGACAGAATATGGACTTTGCCCATTCAACACCGAGGATGACATACGATTAATAAGATGACAAGCAGTAAGAACAACATCACTCCAAAAATATCAAGGAATATTCATCTGGAATAACAGGGCACGGGTGACTTTTAACAAATGACGGTTCTTACGTTCAACAACACCATTTTGTGGAGAGGTCTAAGCACAAGAAGTCTGATGAATAATACCAGTTTTATTAAGGTAGGCTGAAAAAGGATCAGATTCATATTCTCGAGCATTATCAGAACGTAAAGTACGTATATGACAACCAAATTGAGTTTTTATTTCCTTACGAAAAGTCTCAAATATAGAAAATAATTTAGACCGAGCTTTTATAAAAAACAACTAAGTCACACGAGAATAGTCATCCACAAATGTCACAAAATAAGGATATTTATTAGATGAAATATTCTTTATTAGACCCCATACATCAAAATGAACTAATTCAAATGGCACAGGACAAAAACGACATATAACTAAGACTGGGAACTTGGCGCTTCAAATTCTGGATAGAGGGATGTCCAAAACGACAATGCCATTGAAAAGGAGATAACGAAGTCTGTAGAGCCCGGGTAGGTGAATCAAAGTCTAGGTAATATAGGCCACCAGCTTCATGCCCTATACCAATCTTTCTCTTCGTCTTGAGTTCCTGAAAGATACAATAAGAGGGATAAAAGGTTACAGAACAATTGATAGAACGGGTAATCTTGCTAATAGAAAATAAATTAAAAGGAAACTGAACAACAAATAACACGGAAGATATAGACATATCAGGACTCAAGTTAGTAGTCCCAAAACCTGAAACTTTAGAACAAGAACCATTAGCAAGAGTAACACTACGTGTGGAAGTAGTAGACTGATAAGTAGAAAAGACATCGAACGCACCAGTCATGTGGTCAAAAGCACCAGAGTCTATGATCCTGGGACTACGAGTGGAGGACAACAAACATGTGGAAACAGTACTTGATTGGGCAAAAGTAGCAATGGAGGATGATGGAACAACCTGTTACTGGGATAGGAATTAAGCATACTCCTCTCGCTAGGAAGCACGGATTCGGATACTTGACACGGGTACGATACGATACGGATATGACGATACGGTAAAAATTAAAAAAACAAGATACGGGTACGGCTAGGATACGTCTATAATAAAATATATTTTATATTTTATTATTATTTAACGACTTTGAAATTATAATTTTTCAATAATTCTTTAACATTAGTAAGTAAAATTAGAAATTTTTACCATGAAAAGGTTATAATATCATCTCATTATGATCTGTTCATAAAATGAGCATGACAAATTAAAGGAATTATAATAACATTTAACTAGTTGGTTTTACAAGTATTTATTTTTAAAAGTATAGTGTAAGTGATTTATTTTTTTTATACCCTCTTAACATATAATAATAGATAATACTTAAAAAACACTCGTGTTTTTAATATTAGATTAAATTTTGTTGATGTTTTATATTGTATGTGAACTCCAAATAAGGGTTATAGTTTAAAATTGAAAATTGTACATCTTACTACATGTTTAGAAGTATCTGCGAAGTATCCACATATTTTATTAATTATCAGATACAGATGATGCATATCCGATACGTATTATCGAGTATGCGACGAGTATCGTATCCGATACGGTATCGGATACGAGTACGTCGACCTTGACGAAGTATCCGTGCTTCATAGTCCTTTCGTGTAATAGTAACCGACCCAGTGTTTGGTGGAGCTGATCGAGGTATGGAAACAACAACAGAGATGTCATCCTGATAGGAAGCCTGATTCACAGCATCAGAAGGTTTTTCATATAAATCCCAACAGAAATCAACAGTATGCCCTCCACGACTACAGTGAGTACAGGAACATGGTCCACTACGGCCCCCACGACCACCTGTACGACCTCCTCGACCACCTCGAGGACCATCACTATGACTACTAGGTACGACAAGAGCTGAACGATCAATGGAAACACCATGATTGATACCTGAAGTAGACAAAGTAGCACGTTGTATACGAGAGAAAATCTCAAGTGGTGATGGAAGAGTAGAACCACCCAAAATCTGAGAACGAATACCCTTATATTCAGGCTTCAAACCTACCAAAAACCTAACAACATTCATGTCCTCATGTTACTTTTGCCAAACTGCTGCATTAGTAATAAACGGATGATAGGTCTTCATCTTCTCACAGACTCCCCGAACGTGAGAGTAATAATCCTCAATGCTCAGATTACTCCGTTCTAGTCAGAAATACTCCTTGCACACCTCATAAGGTCAGGTAAAATTGCCCGTACCAGAATACATATTGGCCAAGTGATCCCATATCTCCTTGGCAGTGTCAAGGTAAAGCAGAGCAGAACTAATACTAGGCTCAATGTTATTCAATTGTAAAGAAATAGTTTGAGCATCCTCTTGTTCTCACTGATCATACCCAAGAGTATCTTCCTTGGGTTTAGGATTCATCAGATATTTTTTAAATCTTTTGCCTCGAAGAAAAATTTGAACAGATCGGGACCATAAAGTGTAATTAGTCCCATTAAGTTTGACAGAGGTCATGAGACCATTAATAAGAGCCGGAGGAGGCAAAGATGGAGTAAGAGCCATGGTGTCTTGCTTGGGTTCCATAAGAGTGCAGCAAATGGGAAATAAAAAGTGCAACAATGCTGAACCAAAGAAAATAAGGTTGCTGAAAGGCTGAACCGGTCTAGAAAAAACACTAAACTAGACTGGTTTACCAAAGGAGGCTGCTGGAAGGCTAAATCGGCCTAAAAAACCATTGAACCAGACTAGTTTAGCCCATAGGAGGCTACTGAAAGGCTGAACCGACCTAGAGAACTACTAAACCGGACTGGTTTAGCCCTCTGGACCGTTGAACCGGAGTAAAACCGGTCTGAACCGGACCGGCTGGACTCTCTTAACCCCTGAACCGGTCTAAGCTGAACTGAGTCTTGGGTTGGACCGTGGGTTGACCCGATCCGACCCAACCTGTTGAATCACTTCTTGTATTTATAGTTAACCTACAATAATAAGAATTACACATACACCCTCTTATTATTAACAATTTACATATACTACCCTACTATTCTTAACAGGAGCCATTAGTTAGTCTGTTGTAGTTGTAAACATTGTAAACTAGGATAGAAATTATGAACAATTATTGCTCTTCTTAAAACATAATGACCCTTTGTGAGGGATCTACCTCCCCATTACCGGGGATATACCTCCCTCCAAGAGCAATCCTCCCCATTACCGGGGATATCCCGCTCTTCAAGAAAGGATTTCGGCTAACCTGCGGGTCAAACCCCCACAGTAGCCTTTACCTCTGTCCCACATCGGAGACAGAGTCGTCTCCCCACCCCCATATAAGCCGAAGCACCATATGAGAGCAGTCTCCCCACCCCCATATAAGCCGAAGCACCATATGAGAGCAGTACCCAAGTTTTTTGTGAGGGATCTACCTCCCCATTACCGGGGATATACCTCCCTCCAAGAGCAATCCTCCCCATTACCGGGGATATCCCGCTCTCCAAGAAAGGATTTCGGCTAACCTGCGGGTCAAACCCCCACAGTAGCCTTTACCTCTGTCCCACATCGGAGACAGAGTCGTCTCCCCACTCCCATATAAGCCGAAGCACCATATGAGAGCAGTACCCAAGTAACGTACTGTGGTACTTGGGTACTGCTCTCATATGGTGCTTCGGCCATATGAGAGCAGTACCCAAGTAACGTACTGTGGTACTTGGGTACTGCTCTCATATGGTGCTTCGGCTTATATGGGGGTGGACAGACGACTCTGTCTCCGATGTGGGACAGAGGTAAAGGCTACTGTGGGGGTTTGACCCGCAGGTTAGCCGAAATCCTTTCTTGGAGAGCGGGATATCCCCGGTAATGGGGAGGATTGCTCTTGGAGGGAGGTATATCCCCGGTAATGGGGAGGTAGATCCCTCACACCCTTCAACATTCTTTCTCGAGTCCCGTTAGTTATGTTACACTTTTGAAAGGCATTTCTAGATAAAGATTGTATTAGTAGTTACGAGAGTGTAGTTTCTCCATTTACCATGAATTCTCCAGCTTGGATTTGACTATTCAGAAAATGGGAATCGTATACAGAACATCACCCATAGAATTAGAGCTGGATGGATGAAGTTGAGTAGTGCTTTGGATCATGTGTGGTTGTTGATTATGACACAAGAAATAAAAGTTAGAAGTGAAATAGAATGAGAGCACGCAACTTATGCTCTACATTGGATTTTGGATAGTGTAGGAACATTATATTAGGTGAAGGTAGCTAATATGCGAATGTTGAGACGGATTATTGGAAAATAGAGAATTTACTGAATAACAAATTGATGTATTTGTCTCAAGGGGAGGTAAAGTCAATTAGTTATGGTTTCCGAACACCTTCTAATTTGTGTTTCCGTTTTGTGATTGCAGCTTTCTCAACGCACTGTCTCAGGATCATTATTGAAGTATCTTTCGAAGCTACAGGTATTGTTTCATTCGTTTGTTGGTACAGCCAAACATTTTTTATGATTGGTCTTTTTATTTTTACGTTATTGGTTTTTACTTTACTGTAAACTTACTCTTGTTTTTAACCGTAAAACTCTCATTATTTTTTTTTAATTGATTATAGTTCTTCTTGCTTTGTAGTTTGTGTTTTCTCATTTTGTATGTTATGCAGGTTGATGAAGAACCAGCAATCATAACAAATACCACCATATTGCTTGGAAATATTGCCAGCTACATTAACGAAGTGGTTGGTAACAGCTAGTGCTTTCATTGTTTTCGATCACTGGTATTTTGAGCACTTGATAATTTTAAATTAGATTCCTTTTTTTGGTTGCTTGACCTTTCAGTGATTGTTAGTGGCATCCATAATGCAGGATCACATAAGCATACTTAAATAAGATGTATCCTATACTCATATTGGCAACTAATGGATTAAACCCTATATTGCAGACACGAAAGAGAGTTATGATTAGCACATTTACTGTTCGTGCTTTGCGTGATACATTCTCTCCTGCCCGAGGAGCAGGTAGAACTATAAACTCTGTTATCCTAATTCCATCTTTTTGACCAACTTTCATAATTTTGTTTCTAGAATTCTCTCCCCCCCCCCTTCCCCCGGGGCATCTCGTTGACATCAAGTTCTTATTATGATGTGACTGAGATTGCAACCTGGATTTTGCCAAATGTTGTAGTACTAACCATTTGTTTTGACTATGTTTCTTTATTTATTATGTGTCTTTTTGTTTTTATTGACTCTCTTTATATTTTATTGTTTTTGAAATATAAATATAGAAGTTACACCATCTCCAACAACTTAAGTTTTTGAAGTAAATGATTTTTTAACATGGTATCAGAGTAGGAGGTCCTATGTTCGAATCTCACCTCCATTCTAATTATTAAAAGATTTGTACGTGCTAGACCCAAAATCTAGGGACGTGTTGAAATATAAATATTTAAGATACACTTTCTTCAATAGCTTAAGTTTTTGGAGTAGATGGTTGTCTAACAACTGTATTTAAGTAATTTTTAATGATGCATAAATCAGTTTTATGCACCACCAGTCGAGTGATTAGTTTGGTTAATAAAATGCAGTAAATATGATGGAGAACTCAACACAAGCAACACACAGAGATAGAGTGGATCAGTCAGGGTAACCTACTCCACTTTGAATGACTTTGGTTGTGAGGTTTTTTATTGTTGTAGGAGTGTGGAGAGCTCATGTAAGAGCAATGAGAGCTCAAGTAAGTCAAGTGTGAGATAAGATGCAAGATGACCCCATGCGTAGGTGGGGCTTACAATTTATAGCCGCCTCCTAATTGACTGAGGCGCCACAACCGTAATGGATAGGCTAATTTGGTGGAAGTAGCACCATTCTTGCAACGGGGTAGTTGTGTAGAGATGGAGTAGAGATCTCTTTATCAGTTGCAGACTGGGTCTCAGGATGGCGTGGCTAAGACTCTTGAATGACGTGGTCTTTAACTCTAGGATGGCGTGACTCTCTCCTTGACTCTAGGATGGTTTAGGATGGCGTGGTTCTTTAACTCTAGGATGGCGTGACTACCTCCTTGACTCTAGGATGGCGTGGTCCTTGACTCTAGGATAGCGTGGTCCTTGACGCTAGGATAGTGTAACTCCCTCCTTAGCTCCAGGATGGCATGGGTGACTGTGCTCCCTTGATTCCATGGTGCGCTGAGCAGGGTCTCATCTGGGTCGGCCCCATTCAGTTTTGTCTGTACTAGGCCATTACTTGAGCTGAGCCTTGTCTGGGCCGAGCCCATCAATTTTTATGAAGCTAAATTGATGTTTATGAAAATCCTTTCGAAAATAAGAGTAACCTTTTGTAAGACCGTGTCTTCCCTCCTTTAGATTTTTCAGAGTTAAGCATTTGTTTGACTATAATTAGACGTGGCAAATAGGTGGATTGAGTTGGTTCAAGATGGGTTGGGTATAAAATAAATTCAATTCATTTTCAACCTACTTAACGGGTTATAATGAGTTAGATCATAACAAATTGTGTTAAACTTGTTAACCCGTAAAATAATTAAAACTCTTAATATGAACACATACTAATATACTAAAAATATATACTAATACATCAAAAATACACACACGTATACTATCTCACAAAAAAATACAAACACATACTTTATTACTTGTGTCATGGGTCAAGTTGCGGGTTGTGGATCATGGGTTGGGTCGGGTGTATTAGTGTGTGCGTTTTTGGTGTACTAGTATGTGTATTTTTTAGTGTATTAGTGTGTATGTATTTTTTGGTATATTATTATATTTATTTGATTTTATTACTTGTATTATTTAATAGAAAGATAAATAATCAACCTAATAGGTACCCATTTGTAATCCGCTTAATTAAAATAAATCCTATTACCCAATCCATTTAAACCTCGCAATAATTAATATAAGTACCTAACCCATTTATTTATGGGTAAAGGGTTAAGATGGCCACCACTAAATGTAATACTTCTTATGATATCAACAACAGAAAAATAACATTGTTACATATGGACACATAAAGTCTATGTATAATAGTCACCAATCAGAAACTTATGACCTACTGCTACAACCTTAAATATGTAAACCCAAGCATAGGTTGTACGAAGTAATATAAACTCGGAAGACCGAAATCGAACCCTTAGGATAGTGTAAAAACAATAGTTGCCACACTAAATCTATTAACAAACTTGTAAAACTGTTTCTCAAAAAGAGTATTTGAATTGGTATAAGTAAATGATTTAATTAAAATAATATGTAAAGTACTAGAGCGTCAGGTATATCCTCTCAAATTCATACAATAAAGATTAAAGACTTAGTTTTCAAACCCAGACAAGAGTCGAACTGTCAACTGACTCCAGTCAGTGAATGTAGCAATGAGAACAAGAAAACACCACTATTTATAACTAATGGTTTATTCAGAAAAATCAAAGAACTGATGGCCAATTATAAATATTTACTGTGCCCGGAGTCTACAATAAATCAAACTTTCCTAGCAATCGAATTCCTAACTTAACCACACAATCCTCTAGCTATATTATTATGTGAAATAAATTGTAATTAACTTAAGTAAGGAATAACTAGTTATTTGTCTCACAGGAAAATTTAAGTAATCAAAGTATAAGATACAATAACTTAAGAATCTTTACAGAGCAAAAATTTTACTAATAATCAAAAGTTAAATTAACAAAATACTACATACCATTAAACCAATAAGTCAATAACAATACTGTACTTCATTGAGAGATTCTCCCTTAGCCTTAGTCAGAAAGACTAACCAGACATCCTAAGCCTCAACCAAAAAAAGAATAAAAATAATTAAAAAGCCGTCCCTTTACATCATGATGATCCCCCTATTTATATTTTTCTAGTTCAAGAAGTCTAATCATATTCTACTTCTTCCTCCAGATTCCTATCTTTCAGAAACACGCGTCTGGACGGACGCATAGTATCAACCGTCCGGACGCACTTGGCAATATGCTCCAATTCTTCAAAGCACGTCCATCTTCTCATTCTATCAACTCTATCTGAACGCAATAGCAATCCCTTGTCTGGAAGTGCATTCCAGTAAGTCTAACTCAGCTGCTCTTCTTCATCCACCTTTATTTCTTCAATTTTTTTTAATCCTTTTCCTGCAAAATAAACAGAATTCTTTCATTACTATCATAATAACAAATTTTTAACAAATCATCACATTTACCACCTTTTTCTGAACAAATGATTAATCTTTTCCATCAAACAATTACATTATAGGATCATAATCACATACTTTTTATTTCTAGGATGATAATGATAACAATTAAGGGTGAGTCTTGACATAGCGGTAAGGGTACTCAATTTTGTGACCTAGGTGTCGGGTGTTCGAATGATGGAAATAGTCATTTAGCAAGCAAGGTAAGCTTGCACACATTAACCTTGATGACTTATGCACTGGACCAAGATGATGCTTTATACTTCCACATATTTGCTCATACAAAGATGGCCATTGGTCTTTGTGTTGAATACCTGTTGAATGTCTATGGTATATTTTTTGAAACTAAGAAGTAGAAATCCATGCTGATGACAGGCGTTTTATTCAAGATAAAGATTTCATAAGCTGATATGTCTTATCCATGATGTTTCTTCACTTTGAAAAAATGCGATGTTTATTCAATAATAGTATTCATTAGTAGCATCATTTCCCTGATACTTATTTTGATGCTTTTCCCTCTTGCTTGTGAACTTTGTTGTGTTATACTTATTTTCCTTTTCAAACTCATATTTTCTTTCATGGAACATGTATTTATTTTAGATTTTATAATCGATATTTTTTTGTTGAGTTACTAAAAAGTTAACATGCTCTCCTTTCTATGGCTTAGTGATGTTCGATCAAAGGCATTCCAAGCAGTTGACAATTTTTGCAAATTGTGAAGCCATATAATGAGAAGGTGTGGTGTTAAATCTTATGACTTCAATATCTGTGCATCATTCTTAAAACTATCTTCTAGTTTTTCCTGGGGTATTTGAGAAGCAAAAGTGCTTGTAAAATACAGGATTGAGGATCCTGAATGATAACTGGCATTCATCACACTCTATATTTTTTAACAAAACCAGTTTGTCCCTCCTCCTTATCGGTTCTGTCTAGTAAAATCTGTGGCAAGCTGTAAAAGTTATTTTATAAGATGTAGTTTTATCTCGGTTCATTATATAACATAATTACTGCCACAACCACCATAGATCATGCTCTTCCTACCAATTCACCCATAGGGTATCTTCAGGTTGGGGACTTCTTTGAAGAATCAGAAATCTGCCTCCTTCGAAAGCAGGTCCTGCAACAATTCAGCTAATTATTGTGTATTATGAGTAATAACACAATCGCAGATATTCTCCCCAGGTTGCATAGATATAGTCTTATAGATTGTCATCTAGCATTTAAATAATGTGGATGTCTGGAACGGGGTTTGATATTTGGTGGTGCAAGAGTATTTTTCAAGGTTCAATATGTCTGATATTATGTGTGTTAGGAAATTGATTGTAATTGACAAATTCGTGACATCATATTTTTCTTTGTTGAGTTCTTGTTTATTAACATGAGAAAGTGAGTGAAAACCCAACTTTTAACCGTTTGTCTGCTTTCCCACCTAGCACAGACCACTTCAGTCGTCAATCCTGGCAGGCCAGTGGTCATCTATGCAATCTGATCGTATTTGTCTTGGTTCTCACCTCTTTGGCACCTTTAAGCCTACTCTAACTATCTAATAGATGTATGCATGTTTAGGAAATACACATATCAATTTTGAACACACATGGATGAAATGTGATTGCATTCGAATACACAAGATCTATTCGCGCCCTTCTAGACCATTCATGTTTGTTTCAGTGTGTCGGGCACAATCTCATATTTCACACTCTCAGTATGCTAATTGGTTCTTATAAATTTGCATTTATAGGTTGTTCTTGTCATAAATTAGTTTTTGCTTATGTTAACCACGCCACGTAGCATAAATTCAGTTCTCTGCTTATCCATTTCTTCCTTCACCATTAAGTGTAGAAAAAAATAGAATCTGAAAAATAAAGTGAATGATAGGGTGAGCACGAACTAAGTCACTCTCTTAATATAATTCGTGCCCCTTTATGAAAGAAACACAATGTAAAAGGTAACAACGGGTCGTCTCCATGATACAACAATCTAATCTATTGATTGTTGCTTCACTTATATCTGTACAATCGAATGAAGCAGAAGCTTCACACGACACCTTTCAATATTGCCCAAAAATTTATGTAGTACAAAAAAATATAGTAGATATTCAGATTATATTTTCTCTATTCTAAAATATGTAAATATATATAGAAAATATAGGTGTTTAATATTCCGTAATTACTCCCATATTAATCAGGTAATAATTATTAAAATTAAATAAAAAATAGCTATTGAAAAACTAGCTGTTATAACCTTTGGTATTTAGAAACTGAATTTTTAATATAACAGTTATGACGAAAAATAATTAAATAAAATATTAAAAAGTGGATTTAATACTAGATTTATAAATATTACTTATGTATATTTCAAATAATTTGAAGTATATTTAAGTGTGCTCACTCTATCATTTTTTGTTCTATCAATTAGTATAGTTCTCGTACCTATATAATTATGAATTTTTTGACACACTTTGGACACTTTAGGAATACATCTATGTAAGTTTTTGACACGTCGAACTCATTTTTTTTAAGTTATAAAGATTTCAATTAAAAAAAAAACTATAAAGATTATGACAACTAGGTTACTTAATTAAATGAGTGATCAATGACTAATAGATTGATCATATATGCGGAGAAATATTATAGTATCTTTTATGCAGTTTGCTTCATTTGTTATGAAGGGGTATAATTAGCCTCTCTTTTTTGTTTGTTTTTATTTATGTATGCTATATTTATTAAAGTTTCACCCTTTTCATATTTTATGAATTTTTAAGTATCGAATACAATATAGTAAATTTGAATATATTATTTTATTTTTATTGATTAGAAGAAAAAAAATTAAAATTTTTTAGTAAAGTGCCCACCCTAGACATAATTTCTGGCTCCGCGCTTGTATATATACACACTCAAGTACTGAGATTTAGGATGAAGAAACTACATGTAGTTTTACTTGTATCAAAAGTAGAGCTACTCTTTATCCAGTGCAGAAAATAGTTTTGATCAATAATTTGGTTTTTAAAGAAGAGGTAGTAATGAGTCTCTATGATTGTGATAATTATCCTCTGAGTTTTCTCTCTGTGGCCCTCTGTAGACAAATGCTGGGGATACCGCTGGATCTACAAGCATTGGAATTTCTTCAATACCAGGAAATGCAAGTTTACTTGGGTACATTCTCTTCGGGACTCTATGAACTCATTATTTTACTTAGTTACGTTCTGTCTACTGTAGTACTGTTGAAATGAGTTTATTCATGTATGACAATAATCGTTTTATAATACTTAGAATTTCGTCTAGCAACCTCATGTCTGCTTTAATTATTCCCATTTTGGTCACGAATCACTTCACATGGCAAAGTTGTTAGCAGGCAGTGGATTTCTGTGGCACATCCAGAAACCTGTTGGATGTACATGGAATTAGTGTAATCACTAATCTGTGTTGTCATTAAACTGCCACACCTGGCTTGGAAGTTGGAATAATCGATTTATATCTTGGGTCTTGATTTGATTACTTGATACGTGATTCTAGAACTTGCAACAAATAAGAAACTTGATCTTAGTAAGATTGCCATGCTTGTTCATCAAAGATTGTGGCATTGACATTTAACATTATGGTGACAATGCAGATGGGCCATGAGTTCCTTGACTCTCAAAGGCAAACCCTCTGAGCGAACTACACTTGCTCCTGCACCTCTTACTTCTATGATCTCTAATGCTAGCTCAAGTAAGGATTGTGTCGATCATTTCTTTTTCCTCTAATTTGCAAATCTTGTTTGATTCCTCAAGATATCCACTTTCCCCATGGCAAGGGGGTGTTACATGAATTTGATGGATATGACTAGACCAATTTTTGTTGTTTTTGGTTGGATTCCTTTGTATGCTTCTTTTTATCAAGAAGGATGGTTTGTTTCCTATCCAAAAAAAAATGGTCAGAGGATGAATTCTTGTTGGTAAATCAGAAAGGGAAAAACTATATTTCTCCCCTTTTAACTACTTAGGAGAAAACTGGTTAAGTATTTATCTGTCTGCACAAACTTTTTAGTTCACCCATGATTATTCAAAAAGGAGTGAAGTTGTATGAACTCTACTATGAAATTTTTACGAATTTGTAAAGACTCTGCTGATAATGATGTTAAAATGTACTTCCTCTGACGGTTCCTCATTCTTCAAAGCTTCTTATTTGGAATATGTGGGAACATGGATATAAAGTTCTTGAAAGATTTGCAAAATTTGGGACTTCAAGAGATTAGAAGTCATTTTCTAAGTGGATTTTTTCCTGGGCTTGGGAATTTTTTTTCGTGGAAGGATGGTTTTGGAACAAAATTTTGAAATAAGAATGTGCCATGAACACTGCACAGTTAGAAATAAGAAAGAGACGAGGCAATCATACAATTCATGAGCTTTTCTCTCTCCGTTGTCACCATTCATTTTTACATTTTCTTGCATAATGCAATATATTTGGTAGTGCTTTCTCTGGATTATTTTACTCCAATCTATTATGTGGACACTTACATAGATCAGTCAAAATCTGAAACTGGTTTATTGTGAATTAATGATGGATAGTCCAGGTATCACGCCTGTTAATGTAAGTTCGAGTGTTGATATGGCTGATCAACCTGCACCTGTTTCCCCTACATCAACTGATGCCTGGGGAGAACTTGAAAATGGAATTCATGAAGAGCATGAGTGTGACAAAGATGGGTGGGATGATGTTGAGCCACTTGAAGAGCCAAATCCATCTCCAACTCTTGCAAACATCCAAGCAGCTCAAAAGCGGACTGTCTCACAGCCAAAGCCCCAATGTAACATCATTCATTAAATTTGTAATAGTGGTGGGATTACAAGACCAACTATTTATCACAGTAACATTTTGCTTATGTGGCTGATTAGTTTTGTTTGTTCCTAACTGAGTTGTCCATAGAGACAAGATAATGTATTTTGAAGCATAGTCACAGACTCACAGCTCAATACACAATATATTATCATTCTACCATATGTGGGTGAGACATGCATCGTAAGCGTATACAGTTTGAATATGCACTTTTTCCTGTATCCTTTTTTATGGAATTCCTGAAAACTGATATCTGACATCTGGAGTGTAGCTCGGTTCTGACTTCCAGGAATAAAACATTGCACAAGGAAAAAACACATTTAATGGTTTTGTTTCACAATTTGTATTTGGGGTCAGACTTAATTAAATTATCTGGCCTCAGGAAAGTATTTATATATTGTGTCTTTGTCATTACGTAAATAGTGGTGCTCCTATTTAAAGAGAAATAATCAAAGACAGGCTTCAGTCTAAAGAATCCAGGTTTATTATGTCAGAACCATACATGTAAACGGGTACCTAGTTTACTTTGCATGTCTAATATGTTTACTCTGTTGTGTGTTTTTGCCCCTTCACCCCCTTTCCTTTTCTTTTGGAGTCATATAGGTTTGTGCTGACATCCCAATTCAATATCACGGTAAACAACAGAAAACATGATTGTCATAATGCTGTTGTTTTCATTTAGGTTTCTTGCTTTGTGTAACTGAGATTACTTGCCTGAGCTTGAATATTGGACCTATTTTACCAGGAGACCTTCTTTAGCTTCAAACAATGTGTTTTTAAGTTTATGCCACCATTTGGCTACATTCAAGTTCGTCTCATGGGAGATTTTCTATTTTGTAACAGTTACAGGTTTGCGAACAAAGATGAAGATGATGACTTATGGGTTCCATTGCTGCCCCTGCGCCAAAGTCCACATCGAAGCCGTTGAATGTGAGAACAAGTACACCACTTGATGATGATGACCCATGGGCTGCTATTGCAGCTCCTCCACCTACCACCAAAGCCAAGCCTTTATCCCTAGGGCGAGGTCGTGGAACCAAACCTGCTGCTCCAAAACTGGGTGCCCAAAGGATAAACCGGACATCGTCTGGAATGTAAGGATATATTGAGGAAGGTGAAAGAAAGGGAGCTCTGTACATTTTCTTCTGGTACACTTTTGAGTTCATACTGAAACACACTGAACTTAGGTCACCATAAGTTGTATTGTTTTTTTTCCAACACAGCATTTGATTTGTAACATAATTTTTTTCCAAGTATATTCTAAAGTTTATTCAAATGTTTATGTACGAGGCTTTTCTAAGTTATGCCTCGAGGAACTTGGGTTGAAGTAGAAACAACAAATTGAAGAAAGATATTACCATTGGCAAATTTGTAAATGATTTTGTAGATAATAGAGTTAAGGTATATTGCATCCTATGTTGGTAAATTGTTTAGGTTAACAATCGCGAGGTTATGTATTCGAATTGGACAACATCATTTTCGTACAAATAACACCAAATATAAAGTTGGTATTCAATTTATCACTATCAGTTTTCTCCATTGTGGTATTCAATCTATCGCTCTCAGTTTTCTCATTGTTCCACGTGAGAAAAATATGTGATGCATTTTTTTTACCAACAAATGAGAGAGGTAAAAAGATAGCTTTTGATGCATAAAATGGCTCTCTATTTCATTACGGATGCCATTATTTCATTATGAATGTCAACACAATTGACTTGTGTCATATCATGTTCGAATATGGGCATTTTAGATTTTTGTTTTTATTTGTTTAAACCAAGAATTAGAAATGTAGCAATAATACATTTTATGTTTCACAAAGAAATTCAACTTACATGGGTCTCCTATAAAACCAAAAATCTACGCAATCCACAAGTCTCGCATAATCAAATAAGAACATTACAATCTAAATTATTTATTCAATGATAAGTCAAGAAGTGAAATATATGAAATACAATCCATTTTAAACAATACAAATTAAAAAAGTTCTTTGTGTTCAACAATAATTTAACATATTTACACTTCGACAATTGGCCATGTCATTTATATAGATTCTTGTCGTGTCAATTTTTTATTGTCTTAATGATAAAATTGACACCCTTTCGACTAGGAGAATCAAAATGAACAATTGAGAGTGGAGTCTGAAGCGTGCTCCAAATTGTACCAAAGAGAGAGAAAGAAAAGAAAAATGTGTGTAATCTCAATAGTAACATGAAAGAGTTATAAATTTAGATGTCTTAAACTCGAATTTTAGTAACTCTTTGAGTCAAGTCATAAGAGATTTATAAATTTAGATGTCTTAAATTCGAATCTTAGTAACTCTCTGAGTCAAGTCATGAGAGATTTATCTCTCATGAATACATTAGTCTCGATATGGATGACTTGTCTTTAACCAGACTAGAGAAGAGGTTAGTGAAGATGTACGTAAGTTAGTTAAGACACCTCAAACTATTGAACAAAAAAAGAATAGAAAAGGTATGTCACATGCATTCTACCATTGAACTATTTAATAATCCAAGGACCATGTTACATTTAATAAAGTCATTTTCTAGTGCTCTGTGCAATAGTCAAGTAATTGCATTTTCAGATGTTTCATGTGACTTTCACTTAATTTTGATCCTCATATGTCTCAACTCTAAAGCTGCCCGAGACTCTGTAAATGTGCAAACATGAAAAGCCCTGCTTTCATTCCTTTTTATTAAAAGTTGACATACCATTACATGTGTTTGTTCGAAATTTAAGTTTTAGTAATGATCCATTCTCTAACCTGCAGTTTCATGAGGCTTATCACTTAATCAGTTTTTAAAATATTACACACAAACTCTTAAAATTTATACGTGTGTAACACTTCGACTCCTATAGTTAATGTTCGTTAATATATTCGTTAGTAAAATTACACTTAAATCCTTTGAAATTTGTAAGTATGCAATATTTAGACCCCTCAAATTTAAAATATTATACGTAGATAAAAAATATTCCAATTAAAATTTATGTTATATTATGTCATTTATTGAAATAAAATAAAAATATATTTTTTTCTTAAAAAATCATAATTAATATACAATTATATTGTCTATTGGAATTTAATTTGGTCGTTTAAACAAATTAACCCAATTAAATGTAGAAAATATTGTGTCTATCATAGTTTAATCTCTTATTTGATTTTTTTTATTTTATTCCAATAGATAGGAGATTTTTATTTTTATTTTTATTTCAATAAATGACATAATAAAATATGAATTTTAGTTGTAAAATTTATGTTCTATTATAAATGATTTAGATTATTTTTTTATTTTTTTAGTTTTATTCCAATAGATAGTATAATTGTATACTAATTATATTTTTTTAAGAAAAAAATTATTTTTTTATTTTATTTCAATAAATGAAATAATAGAATATGAATTTTAGTTTATAAAATTTAAAATATTTGATATTGTATATTTGATTGGAGTATTTTTGGTCAAGTATAATATTTTAAACTTGAGGAGTCTAAGTATTATATGTTTACAAACTTTAGAGGGTCTTAATGTAATTTATTGACGGATATATTAAAGGACATTGATGGCAGTGTTACGTGCGTACAAATTTTAAGGAGCTTATGTATAATATTTAAAATAATAAAAAATATAAGTGATTAAATAACAAATCTTAGAAGGTCTAAATATAACTCTCCAAATTTTTTTTTTTGTATAAGGTGATTCTCTTTTACCAAATAAAAACGTTTCTATAGTCCTATTGACATCAAGTATAAGAATTAAACCACTAATTTTTGGATCACAACAATAGGGTGACAATCATGTTATTTTGAATTCATATTGAGTATTAGTCAATTTAATCTAATTTGTTTGACTAATCATGTTGAGTCGAGTCGGTTTATTTATTTTCATATTGTATTCGTGTTGATCCATATAACTCGTGAATAAAAAATTTAACGCTCAAATTTAAATCTAAAATTTAATTGTTACTTAATTGAAATTATGCTCATATTTTTTTATAAACTAAAAATTAACTTAATAAATGTAATAATAAAAATTAGTAAAAATATATATTTTGTATAATAATTAAGTCACTATTCAATAAAATATAATAAATATTTATATTTTATTTTTATAATACTAGTCAATCGTGTTAATTTCGTGTTGTTTGTGTTTGATATTAACCCGATTCATTTATTATATTTTATTTATGAGTTTATGTTAAAAAATTATCAATCATAATTCACTAATTTCGTATCGATTTCGATTCGTATTGTCACATCATATCAAAAATTACCACCCTTATCTAAGACGTGTTGAGTCTTTTTTAAATAAATTATTTTTTTAATTATCCGGCATAAAAACTATAAACAAAACTATGCCCCCTAAATAATAGCAGTGACAAGGGGATCCTTACAATATATAGATAAAAGTACAATATAAATAAAAGAATATGATTTTTCTTGTAAAATACTCTAATCCCAATTTAATTATGATATAAACTAAGTCAATACTCAATAATATGCCCTCTCTCTCTCTCTCTCTCTCATGGTCAGCTGATTACAATCTCTATCCCCTTCCTTCAACTGGTTCTCTCCTCCTCCTCCTGCATACACACTTTTGAGAAAGATAGATATAGACCCACATAGATATATTCATATATATATACGATTTGTGTGTGTGTGTGTGTGTGTGTGTGAGAGAGAGAGAGAGAGAGAGAGAGAGAGAGAGAGAGAGAGATGCGGAACAGAGGTTGTTGTTCTGATCTGGTTTGTAACTATGGGTACATTGTGGGAATTGTATTTCTGAGCGTTTGGATCAACGGAGTGAGAGGTTCGATCCACGAATACAAGAACGAAGCTTTCATTCCTCGTTTCAATTCCTTCTTCTTCCACGGAGGTAGTGAGGGACTCTATGCTTCCAAAATCGTCGACACCACCGAAGATAAACCCCTCAATGGCAAGTCCTTCATCAGGTGAAGTAATAGATTGGTTTATCAGTTGATTTGTTTGTTTCTGTGAAAAAAAATTGAATCTTTTTGAGCCATAGATGTTTGTTACTTTATTGTTCTTGTTTAGGGTACCCATTGGTAAACTGGGGTTGTGAAATTCATGTTTCTACAATGAAATCAACAGTGAAATGCACTTAGCTTTTGATTTTCAGGTAATTATTTACACATAAAAACATACACACACAGACAAACATACACACATCTCTGACTTACAAAAGAACTATGTAGAGCAACAGCAACTAGAGGATGAAGGCTAAGGTTTGGAAGCTTAGGTGTCAAAGTCCTACAGTGGTCAACAAAATATTCGAATTGCTGAATGAGTTTATACCGACAGAAACTGACTTAGGCGTTACGCAGAGACATTAATGAATTCTGACACATAAAATGTAAGTTTGGTTTCGTGGTAGGGACATCAAGCGCATGGAAGCTAATGCACATTTGTGATTGCACATTTAAATGCTTCCTACACTCTACATGCCATTGAACCACTTAACCTGAGAACCAGTAAGCTTTGGAAATCTTCTTTTTCCCGGGTTTGGCATTCTAACATATCAGCCATTTCAATGCCTGTTACAGGTTTATAAAATGGTTTCATAACTCTACACCTAAGCCACTTTGGCAGAGTGTAACTTACATTCCATAAATATGGTTTGCACAATATTCTTGGTGTCTTGGAATGCAGCAATGAATCCCTCCTAGGATTTGGAAATTTTCTTGATATTGTGTAGGATTTTGTCAAGTAAGTCTTGCAACTATTACATGACTAGAACTAATGTCGACTTGAACAGCTTCACACAATATTGGGTGTTGGATTGTTAGATGCCAGATGCTCTTTTTGCTTTGTTGTGTAAAGTTTATCAGTATAAATATGTTGACTTGATGTAACTACATCTGTTTGTGAATCTCTACTTCTATTTTTCCTTTTGTGGATTCTTTTTAATTTTTTATAGGATAATGTATCCATTTGAATAGACCCTACATTTGAGATCATACTAAGCAAGTGGCAATCTGAAATGCAAACATGCCTGTGTTGGACTCCTATCATGAAGCCCATCTAACATGGAGAATAGACACTCAATGAAGATTCCATGAATCATTAATTTTTTTCAATATGGGCTGATGTGTAAGGTGCTCAAAATATGGATGTATATGTAAATATGAGTGGAATAGGTAAGAAGATGAGCACTTGTTGATAACAATCTTGTTGCCAAAACTACTGTGACACCTCACCCATGTGAAGGCACAAAAGGATAACAACTCCGAATGGGTGAGGTCTAAAGTTTAAAAACCACACTTGGTTTTGATTTGACTTGTTAGGGTATTACCACATTTTTGGTAGCATAGTTGTTGTGTCATCATTATTGTGGAAAGATTATCTATCCCATGTCATGTGATCAGGTTTGAGTCTATTACCTTTCGAAGGACAGAGGAGATTTCCAATAAACAGAATGAGATGCAGCAAAGTACTGGATTGGTTGAAGCCATAATAGTTGAGGTCAAAGACAGGGATAAGATTGGTGGCGCTTATCTAAATTCCGATGCAATATGTTGTTCCCCAGCTCTTGCCAATGATGGATCCTGCAAGTTAGGAGAGGTTATTATCCGCCAAGATCCTGATAACCCTGGCTGGCCAAAACGGATTCCCACCCCCTTTGAAGGAAAAAACAACGATGCCAACATGGAGCTTCAAACTATTGAGGTCAATAAGACTGGAATGTACTATTTGTATTTTATCTTTTGTAACCCTGAACTCAAGGGAACATTAATAAGTGGGAAAACTGTTTGGAGGAATCCAGAAGGTTATCTACCTGGGAAGATGGCACCACTGATGACATTTTATGGCTTTATGTCTCTCGCATACCTTGTTCTTGGTCTTCTATGGTTTCTTCAATTCGTGCAACACTGGAAGGATATAATACAATTGCACTACCACATCACAGCTGTGATTGGTCTGGGAATGTGTGAAATGGCTCTCTGGTATTTTGAATATGCAAATTTCAATGCCACTGGAAGCAGACCAATGGGAATTACTCTTTGGGCTGTTACCTTCAGTGCTTTCAAGAAGACAGTTGCTCGTCTTCTTCTTTTAGTGGTTTCTATGGGTTATGGTGTTGTACGACCCACCCTAGGAGCTATAACTTCAAAACTGATTCTTCTTGGTGTGACATACTTTGTGGCTTCTGAGGCTCTTGAGCTTGTTGAACATTTGGGGAATATCAATGACTTTTCTGGAAAAGCAAGGGTTTTTCTGGTGCTACCGGTTGCTGTATTGGATGCCTGCTTTATCCTTTGGATCTTTTCGTCATTATCTAAAACTTTGGAGAAACTTCAGGTAATGTTGCTGTGCATTTCATGGTTCTGCCCTGCTGTTACAGTGGACAAATTAGCGTTATTCCTATCTCCAGTGATATGAAGTTGTTCAGGGAAAGAATTAATGCATTGTGCTTATTGTTGATGCACACCTTTAGTCAGATAATCTCGTATATCAGAAGCGGTTGGTGTACTATGTCATATAGCTTGACTTGTAATGATGTCATAGGGCCTGATCCAGATTTGTGTTCTGATGTTCAAGTTTTCACAAGTATGAAAAAGATAAATTGCATTGTAGGAATGGTTGTCATGATGGTTGGCGTTACTTATTTACTTTGAGCAATAGTCCTTACCAGGTTTTTCATGAAAAATAAATACTCAGTACAAAAAATTTGTGTAGTAAATATTTCTCAAATAAATGTATACAAAAAACTGACAGTTAATTAAATAATGGTGACTCTTGAACGCTCTCATCATGCATGGCTATATGTGCATTTATGTAATTGTGGATGAAAAAAGGTTGCCGCCCAGTTTGATTCTCGTTAATGTTGAGCTCTATACAAACTTAAGCCTTTGGCATTACTTACATGAAGTTACTTCCTTTGGATTCATACTCAGAACTCGCAGTTCTTTCATATGTATGTCATAATAAGTAGCAAACCAATAATATTCTATCAGGTTCAGGCCATTAAGGTTCCATAATTCACTAAACAGCATTATTCTACCATTAGTGTACCTTCCTCTGTTTTCCTGTCCCTCTCTCAATTTTTGGTTTAACGTGATTCTTGTGTATTTCAGCTGTTATTGGTATAGATTTGAGTTATTGTTTGCTTCTTTGTCTACTTTTACTGCAGATTCGGAGAAGCATGGTCAAACTTGACCTCTACAGAAAGTTTACAAATTCTCTAGCAGTATCAGTCCTTTTTTCTGTTGCTTGGATTGGATATGAGGTAAGTTTCCTGTTTCTTTCTATCGAACTTTCTACCTCCCATGATAGTGTGACCCTGACTGATTACCGTTGGTCTACTTGCTATCGACGATCTTTCTATCCATCTTTCTTTGTATCGATCTTTTTTTTTTTTTTTGAATTTTTGAACTTGCACATCATGAGGTACAGCATTCAGAGGCGTTTACCAAATGATTCAAGTAACTAGCTTTTGCCATATTTGATGATTTGGCTCATAATACACAGTACTATGCAATATAAGTTATTTGATCTACTACAATTGGGCTGCTTTCTTTTCCCGTTTCTTTTTTCATAATATTTTTGTAATTGGAAATCTATAATAAAACTCCTATGATTATTATGTTGTTTCAGTTGTACTTTAACGCAAGTGACCCATTGAGTGAACTGTGGCGAAGAGCCTGGATCATCCCAGCTTTCTGGACTATGCTGGCATACATACTTTTGTGGGTGATCTGCATTCTCTGGGCTCCTTCAAATAACCCAACTAGGTAATTTCGGGAAGTTGATCCCTTGCTTTTCTTTTCATTCTTCTGCTTGTCACACCTTTTTGGATAGCATTTAATTTGATATTAACCACTGGGAGGTTGACTAGCAAAGGTGGTTGCTCTCTAATTTTTCTTTACCTTTTTTTTCTTTTGATAAGTAGAACACATGCCTATGTAACAAGCTAACATGGGGTGATATTCAAACACACTTTAACATATATTTCAGTCCACGAGTATGCATTCGATATGGCCTGCTTAGAAAATGAGGCTGATGATCAAATGTAATGTGATCATATTATGTCTCTGGCAAAATTAGGATCCCATTGCCCTGACCAACAGGCAGTACTCTCATGTGAGGGCAGGAAGTCCTGTGTTTTTACTAGGATTCTGTTCTGTTCAAGGAAAAAAAAAACAAAAAAACTAGTATTCTGCATTAGATTCTGTGGTATAATTGCTGATGCCCTGGATTAGCTTTTGACAATGTTTGAGGTAGGTGGACTCATGGTGGGTGGCTAATGTATGTTATCATCACCAGTGCTACTCTATATTGTGGGGATTGCTAGTCCAATTGTTTTCCCAAGGCACTCATAGAGCTTTGGCATAAAATTTGGTGAAAGGATAATTGTACTGTCAAGCTTAGAGACGATGAGACCTTCATCAAAGTGGATAAAAAAATCATTGATCATATGCTATGTATCTGTATGTGCAGGTATGCATACTCAGAGGAGACTGGCGATGACCTTGATGAGGAGGGTATTTCTCTAACTGGCGCCGGAGGAAAGGTGGCTGCAGAATTATCAACCAAGATGGAAAGAAAGGAAAGGAAGGCATCAATTGCAGCAGATCATTTGTTTGGGCTAGGAGAAGATCTCGAGGAGGACAAGAGAGAATGATGCACATCTTCAGATCATAGCATTCCACATAGATTGAGAAGTTCGCCATTTTATATACCTTTTGATTCTTTTTCAGTAAAAAGGACTGAGGAAAACAAGTGCAATAATATGATCAAATGGCAAATTTACAGCCCAGATCAGGCCCGTCTGCCACATTCTTCAAGGCCATCGTTAGAAATTAAATGTGAAAGAGGGTTTTTGGGTAGGTGATATGATAGTTAGCCCTGTGTTGTCCTTAGTGACATATTACTGGAAGAAATGTTAGAAGTGTTTAGAAGGAGAGCTTGGTAGGAGCTCTTTCCCTGAAAAGAGGCATGTGATCAACCAGGTTGATGAGAACCTATTGTGGGTTGGAGAAAGGAATTTAAACCATTAAGGCACTTTTCACCTTGTTTCAACCTGGACAGGGCAAGACCATGTCCAACTATTGTCTGAGAGAATGACTTATATTCTTGCCATTGTATCGGATGTGATATCCCTCCTGAAGTTTTTTATGATTCTTGATATGATCTGAAGACTCTTGATGTTGAATTTTGATGCTTCAGTGCTTGAACTCATTCCTGTTTGCTCATTTTGGCAAATCTCCATGATATTGCTTGTCCTATGATGAACTCTTCGCTCTTGCTTTAAATGTTAGCAACAACATTTGTACTGTTAGAAGAGAGATTTCAGGGGAAAACCGATTTGTGTTGCGCTTGAAAATTTGAAAAAAATAATGCTGTATGAAAACAATTGACATCTCACAGATGGTCACAATCATCAGACTATGGTGTTTGGTAGGAGTATTGACCTCACTCCTTCAAATGTAGCCAATATGTTCAGATAGAACGCCATCAAAACAATGTAACTCAAAATCTCTATTCAAGTGTGAGCTATGCCTTATCTCAGCTCTTGGGGTTCAGCTACACTGGTTTTGCCCATTGTTGCAGTTTGATCCTAGCATCTTTTCTTCACCACAGCCACTGTGCTGTTTCATTCGATTCCTATGCTTGAGGGCTATCCATATGTACTGGAGATCTCCTTGATAATGCCACCTCAAGAACCTCCTAATGCACACAATGTACTGTTGTGTTCCATTAATTCAATAATAAAAATGTTGCCTAGTGCACGAGACTTTTACCATTTGAGGAGTGTATGGATGTTAGATGTATACAACCTTATGATCCTAATAAAAGTCATGAGTGAAGCCAAGGAAACTAGTCTTTTAGCTTGAATTGAAGAAACAAATTCCTCATTCTTATGGGTCTCAGAATGCCTCAATATCTTCATGATAACCTCCTCTCCTTTGCATGTTGCTCCGAAGACTGCTGAGTGTATCATAGATCTCGACTGTCCTTGGGGGGACGAATCTCTTGAGAAGAAAATATCAACCTTATTTCCCACCTCAATCCAACTACATCCGGGGTTCTTCTTCAACCCTTTCTGCCTCATTGATGCTCTCAAGTTTGCTGCCCTGTCCCTTAATCCTGCTTCTTCATACAAATTCAACACTTGAGCATAATTGCTGCCTCTGGCCGGGTCCATCTTTAGTAGGTCATGGGCAGCAAGTTCTCCAAGTTCTATATTGTGATGCACTCGACATGCAGACAACAAAGATAACCACACAGTTCTGTCAGGTTCAATGGGCATGCTCTGTATGACACTGTAAGCATCACTCAAGCATCCAGCGCGGCCCAGGAGATCCACTACATTTACATAATGCTCCATTCCAGGCTCAATTCTGTACAGTTTCATCAGCTGAAACAGATAGAGACCTTCTTCGATTAAACCAGAGTGGTTGCAAGATGAAATCAGGGAAAGGAATGTTACATCGTCAGGTTTGATATCTGATCCTCTCATCTCGTCGAATAAATTTATTGCTTTTAGACACTCACCATGAGATCCAAAACCAGCAATCATTGAATTCCATGACACTAGGTTTCTTCTAGGCATGTTTTGGAAGATATAATGTGCATATTTTAAGCATCCACACTTGATATACATATCGATAAAAGCATTTTCCACTTGAATATCAGCAGAAATCTCGAGTCTAATTTGGTATCCATGTATAGTCTTTCCTTTAAGTAATGCTGCCATTGATGAAACTGCAACAAGGACACTGGTGATGGAAACAATGTCTGGACGTAGGCTGTGCTGTACAATTTGAGGAAGAAGACAAATTGAAAGCCCTGGGAGGCCATTCTGGCAGTAGCAGGAAATCATAGAATTCCAAACCACCAAATTCTTCTGTAGCAAGTGAAAAAATACATTTGCGGCCATCTCTACCGATCCATAATTGGAATACATATCTATGAGTGAACTGGACACAAAAGAATCTAATCCAAAACCACTCTTTATTACAAGTCCATGAACTACCCAGCCCATCTCTATGCACTCTAGTCCTTCACAAGAATTTATTATACTTGCCATAATGTCAGAATCTGGTTTCAGTCCATCAACCTGCATTGTCCTAAATAGATCCAACGCTTCCTTGAACTTCCTATTTTGGCAAAACCCTGATATCATGGAGCCCCATGCCACCAAATCCTTTCCCTTCATCGTACCAAAAAGTACATTGGCATCCTCCACATGGCCACATTTCGAGTACATTGTCAACAGAGCACTCTGCACAGCAACATTACTATCTATTGATCTTTTGATCAGTTCCCCATGAAGTGTCCTACCAAGATCATATAATCCACTCATAGTACAAGTGACTAACAGATTAGATATTGTGAAAGAATCAAATGGAATCTCTCCTAAACTCATCTGAGTGTAAACATCCAAAGCATCATAAGCACAGCCATTACATATATAAGCCGAGATCAAAGCATTCCATAGTGCAATTTCTTTATCTAGCACTGAATCAAAAACTTTTTTTGCATCTTCAACATATCTGGACTTGCCATACATGGTCAGGAGAGAAGTACAAACATATGGGTCATTCTGAAAACCCATCTTGATCACATCACAATGAACCCGCCTTCCAAATTTCACATCTTCTCCCAGAGAGCAAGCAGTAAGCACACCAGAAAACGTTGTGGACACAAGTCTGCAGTCTTCATCCTTAGCAAATGAGTACAATTCTAAACTATGCTCCCAAAACCCATCCTCACTTAGCCTTCCAATAATCGCATTCCATACTACAATGTTGTTCCTATCAGTTGAATTCTCAAAAACTCGCAAAGCATCCATTGGTCTGCCACAATTCGAATACATATCAATTAGTGCAGTCACCACAAAAGGGTCACCATCACGCAAGTTTCTAACAATGTAACCATGAATTTGTTTTCCTTCCAAAGAACCCAAAATAGCATCACACACTCTGAGAAGAATACAAAGAGAATACCCATCAGGTTTAACACCCAATGGTTGCATTCGGCGAAATTGAGCAATCCCCTCGTCAACAAGGCCATATTTAAAATACCCATCAATCATAGAGTTCCGAAATGTGACATCTCGCGCCAATTCTTCACCATCAGGCACATTTTCAAACAGTTGGACTGCGTTCTCCAGCGACCCACATTTTACGTACATGTTGATCAGCGAGGCGGCGACGAATGGATCAAATTGTAAGCCCGTTTGTATGATTGTGGCATGAATTATTTTACCGTAGCAAGAATTTGAAAGCGACGCACAGGCTTTGAGAAGAGAAGGGAAGGTAAATTTGGTGGCAATTAGAGGAGATTGAGGTTCTCTAGTGTATGATTCAAGGGCTTCTGAATAGTGTCCTTGTTGGATTAAGGCCTTAATCTTGAGATTAAGCTGCGGAGAGAAATGGGTTTGTCTCAACCTTGAGAATTTTCGAAAGATGAATAGATTGAAACACATGTCAACATCGTTGAAGCTGATCAGCTGAACTACTACATTTCAAATTACCCACATTCTTCTCCAAAAAGATATGCACGAATAAATCTCTGGTTTTCTTTGGGAGTTACAATATAAACCTTCTCTGATGATCAACCTCCCCAAAGTTGTCTCGATTACTGTGATTTTCTATCAACTTAGGACAATATCAGGCGGAGCTTGACCTGAATAATACGAGGATTTTTTTTTTTTGTTTCAACGGCTTATCGGCGATTAAGTGCACACTTCAATTAATTCCTTATTTATTTAATCTCGATATCAATCTCGATATCCGTGAACCATAAGATAAATCCCAACTTGGCTCAAGAAATTAACAAGATCAAACTCAAAACATTAAAATAGTCCAATTTTTGATACTATAAATGAGTTTTGGAGGCTCATTTCACTTTGTTTCTCAAATTGGAGCAACAAATTTCTTTTGTTCTTTTCTCTATGATAGATACATCCTATTTTCTTCATAATATATGCCCAATCACACATCCAAGATGAAGAGATCTAAAAGCCTAAAAAATACCAACTAAATTTTATGAAGATAAAATCAGATCTAAATCTCCGTTCTTTAATTTCCATCAGAGACAGGTAACCTACATCCCTTTATCCATAAGTGGGTCTCCCAGCCAGACATAATAGGTGACTTAGTGAATACCCAAATAAAGTCATGCTTTACCAAAATCACCGCCAAAAGGGTCTACTTAACTCCCAGTGGTGTCCTTGTTAATAGTCTTCATTTACCAGTATGTCGACTCAAGTAAGACCCTACTAGTGAGAGATACCCCAGTTGCAAACCCCAGATTTGGGCCAAATGCCAACCTTTTGAAATGTACTGTATGATCCATGCCTGCAAGCTACTAACTTGAGAAGAAAAAGAAAGAGATCTAATTTAACTTCTTTCCATATATTTTCACCATAAGAACAACAAAGTTGTAGTGTTATCCATCAGTTTCTCTCCTCACCATATAGGGAGTGTACTGATTATTTGGGTGTATAACTCGATAGTTTATGTGAATTTGTTGGTGCGGCCAGAGAATATTTCCACCACCTTGAAGTACCTCTCACTATGAACAATTGCCATCTTAACAAACTCCATAGTCTTCAGACTTCCTCAACCTACAAGATCAAAAAACGTACAATTTTTATATCAGTAACCTATAAAAACATACAAATAACGGAGGCATATACTGCTCAATCCAAGCCAAGAAAAATAAGAAGACGGTGTAAGCAAAATTATCCAAATTAAAGGTTCTTTTTTATTGAATATTAGTAACTTTGTGCAGTGTAAGGACCTGAGGAAGGTTCATCAACTCATAGACAGCTTTCTTAGGGGTCAACTCATTGTCAATGATGTGAGCAACTGCCGTCAAGACTGGCATTTTAACGTTGTATTTCTCCGCCAAAGCAATCACAGCTTTTGCCGTTGATACACCTTCAGCCACCTATAAAAATGCAGCTGTAAGTACCCACACAAATTTCCAAAGATTCAAGTAACCATACATTGACCACGTAAGACTACATTTTCAAGCACCTGATTCATGGATCATAGTATATCATCAAGTTTCTCCCCTGATCCAAGTCGAACTCCAACTGTTCTGTTTCTTGAAAGATTCACAAAACATGTGAGCCTAATGTCTCCATATCCTGCTAAGCCAGTCATTGTAGCCCACTTTGCACCCATCTTCATTGGGGGAAAAAAGACACCCAGAATAAGGTATTCAATTTCCATACGAATATTATAATCCAAAACTACATTGTAGCACAAATGTCTCCTAATGTACCAATGTACTGTCTTGAACATGCAGCAAGTAGCAACCAAGCAGAATAACTACTTTGAATCAGACTAAGGTGTAAGATATGCTGACTAAAATGGTAAACGGAGCAATGACCCTGATTTGAATTGGTTCAGGTAAATAAAGATCAATTTCAAAGAGTAAGAGAGATTCAAGAGACCTTGGTTGCTAACCATCATATCTCAGAACAACCTTGTGCAACCAGAGCTGCCATGGAATTGTTACCAAGGTTCATTCCTTCCACAATTCCTGCTGCTATTGCAAGTACATTCTTTAAAGCACCCGCAATTTCCACCCCAGTAACATCACTGTAGCATCAGGGGTCATAAGCTGATCACTTGAGCACAGAATCTATGCATATTCTTTTCAACACACAAACATTACCACCAAACTCTAGAGAGTATAGATGGAGAGAGGGAGTGACGGAAAGGATCATGCACTTATAAACTGGGGAACATGTAAATCTCGCAATTGGTATAAAGGAGTAGGAGATCTTACCTTGATGTGCTGATTCTCAGATTTTTAGAAGCTAGAAGTTGCTGAACTGCATTTGCCATTTGTTTGTCCTTTGATGCCACGACCATTGCTACAGAAACACAAACCAAGGTTTCAATCACTTCGAACTATGAACAAACGAAAAGTTACCATTCTCTAAAACTATTGAAGTAACCTGATGGCAATTCATTCATCAGTTCCAATGCACATGAAGGTCCTGATAGCACAATATATGGCTGTGTTAGGCCACAAGTGCGTTTCACCTATTCTAGGTGCAAGGGTCATTCCAGAAATCTAGATCATAGCTGACGTGTAAGAAGTGGTTAGAGAGAAGGGGAGCTAATATGCAATTCTGTTTTGCATTTCTGTTAGGGAATAAGTTTTGGCATTTTGTTAGTATTTGCTGGTGTTCTGTTTTGGTTTAGGAAGTGAGGAGAATATAGGGGGAAGGGTTGGTTAGTGGAAGGGTATGAAAAATATTTGTTTTGTAGTGAGCTTGCTCATTTTGGAGAGTTCCCAAGCCTCTTGAATGCTTGGAAAGTCTGGAACTATTCAGATAGTGAATAAAAGTTTCTCTCACCCATTTTTTTGCCTTTATCTGTGTTGCTAAGTCTATTTTCATCCCAGTGTGTATCAAATTGGTATCAGATCAAACGTACCTGGGAGATGGCGGCCAAAAATGTTGCTCAGCGGATGGATTCCATGGAGGAAGTGGTTGGTGCCGTGCAAGAAGAGTTCCAACGAGAAGTGGGAACGTTGAAGGAGGAAATACAGAATATGAACAAACGATTTGAACAATTCCTCAAATTGCAAGAAGATACGGCTCGAGGCGGATCGTTTTCGTACAAGGGGGAATCTCATGGTTTAGACGGCAGCTCAAATTCAAACGGATTTTGCCATGAATTCTGATCCCGGAGACTAGAGATGCCACTGTTCGATGGCTCAAATCCGGATGGATAGATTTTTAAGGCATAACGATATTTCGCCCTCAATCGGTTGACTAATGAAGAGAAGCTTGAGGCGGAAATTATGGCGTTTGAAGGAGATGCCCTACTGTGGTATCAATGGGAAAATAGGAAGCGATCCATTGTCCTTTGGGAAGAGATGAAAATGCTTCTCTTGAAGCAGTTCCAAACGACCCAAGCTAGCTCACTCCATGAACAGTGGTTGGCTCTTATTCAAATCGGCAGCGTGCAGGAGTATCGCCGAAAGTTCATCGAGTTATCGGCGCCATTGGAGAATGTCTCCGATGAAGTAGCTCTGGGTAACTTCATCAATGGGTTGAAGCCAGAGATCAAAGTTGAGGTCCGGATCTTGGAACCCAACAACTTGGGCCGGGCCATGGACTTGGCCCAAAAGATAGAAGAAAAGCTGTGGGTGACCAAAGCCCACAAACCACCAGCCAATGGGTTTCATCGAGCAGAGGGGGCAACGCAGGACACAAGTTTCCACTTTGAACCTTCTCGATCAACTTTTGGGGAAAATCGCTCAGGGAAATTTTTCGGAGAGGTACGGAGGCTTTCCGATTCGAAACTTCAAAAGAAATGAGAAAAAGGGCTGGGCTATCGGTGCGATGAAAAATGGGAGCCTGGGCACATCTGCAAGAAGAAGGAATTGAATGTCCTTCTTACCCATGATATGGAAGAAGGAGTGCTGGGTGAGGGCGAAGAGCCGGGAGAGGCGGAGCCCGAACTGGTGGCGACTGAGCTTAATCAAATGACAGAAGTCTCGCTCAATTCGGTGGTGGGTTTGACTAATCCAAAGACGATGAAATTGAAGAGGATGATCGGTGAGCAGGAGGTTGTGGTATTGATTGACCCAGGTGCCACCCACAATTTCATTTCCTTAGATATGGTTAATAGAATTCAAATACCTGTTGTTAAAACTGAGGTTTATGGAGTGGCTATGGAAACAGGTAATGCTGTACATGGAGAAGGCTTATGCCGTGGAATAAAACTTCATCTGCAGGGGGTTGATATTGTGGAAGAATTCTTGCCTCTTGGGTTGGGGAGTTCTGATGTAATTCTGGGAATTCAGTGGCTCGAGACTTTGGGGATGACTCATACGAACTGGAAGACGCAAGTGATGAAATTTAGGCTCGGTAATGAGTCTGTCACTCTGCGGGGGGATCCCTCCCTTGGGAAGACTCTGGTTTCTCTGAAAGCTATGATGCGAACCATTAAACGCGAGGGAGCTGGAATTTTGGCGGAGCTTAATCAACTGGAGGGTTTGAGGGAAGCGAGTCCCGAGGTGCCGCAATTTATTCACCAAGTTTTGGCAGATCATGAAATTGTCTTCGACATGCCTTTGGGATTACCACTTATTAGGGGACATGAACACTCTATTGTGCTCAAAGAAGGCAGCCAACCGGTTAGTGTCCGACCATATCGCTATCCTACGCTCAGAAGGATAAGATTGAGAGATTGATCAAGGAAATGCTTACTGCTGGAATAATATAAGTCAGCAGTAGTCCCTTCTCGAGTCTGATTTTGCTGGTTAAGAAGAAGGATGGTTCCTAACGTTTTTGTGTGGATTATCGGGCTCTAAACAAGGTTACCGTACCAGATAAGTATCTCATTCCTGTCATTGATGAGCTCCTTGATGAACTGCATGGTGCGAAATTTTTTTCTAAGTTAAACTTGAAGTCTGGTTATCACCAAATCAGGGTCAACAGTCAGGATGTCCATAAAACTGCCTTTCGAGCTCACGATGGGCACTACGAGTTCCTTGTCATGCCCTTCGGACTTACGAATGCCCCCGCTACTTTCCAATGCTTGATGAATGATTTCTTTCGGCCTTTTCTTCGGAAGTTTGTATTAGTGTTCTTTGACAATATTTTGATCTATAGCCCCTCAGAGGAGACCCATCAGCAGCATCTAACACAGGTCTTGGAAATCTTGCAGGCCAATAGTCTATATGCCAATTGAAAGAAATGTGAGTTTGGTAGAACTCAAGTGGCCTATCTAGGTCATATCATTTCAGGGCAGGGAGTAGCAGCAGATCCAAGCAAAATTCAAGCCATGATTTCTTGGCCAACGCCCACTAATTTGAAGGCATTAAGGGGATTTTTGGGTTTGATAGGATACTATCAAAAGTTTGTGGCTAGGTATGCTCGAATTGCGTCACCATTGACTGATCAGCTAAAAAAAGATAAGTTTGGGTGGAATCTGGAAGCTGCATCAACTTTTGAAGAACTCAAGCATGCTATGTCCTCAGCCTCTGTTTTGGCAATGTCCGATTTCACTAAGCCCTTTATTATCGAGATGGATGCTTCTGGGTTTGGGTTAGGAGCTGTTCTTATCTAGGGACAACAACTAGTGGCTTATTATAGCCAAGTACTGGGTCCCCGAGCTCGCCTGAAGTCCATATATGAGAAGGAATTAATGGCAATCGTGTTTGCAGTGTTGAAATGGCGACCTTACTTGCTTGGAAGGCATTTCATTTTGCGGACAGATCAGCAGAGTTTGAAGTTTCTTTTGGAACAACGGATTGTTGGAGTTGAATATCAAAAATGGATTACTAAAATCATGGGGTATGATTTCGATATTCAATACCATAGTGGGGCATGTAATTGAGTAGCGGATGCACTTTCTCGTTTAACAGATGAAGTGGAGTGCTCTACCTTGGTTATACCACAGTGGCAACATTGGGACTCTTTAAAGGTGGAATTGGCAGATGATACTTTTCTAAAGAAACTAAGGGAGGACATTATTTCAAGTACACAATCTCATGTTGGGTTTACAGTGGAACAAGGGATATTACTTTATAAGAATCATCTCATTATTCCACGGTCCTCTAAGCTTCTTTCTACTCTAATTGGAGAGTTTCATGCCACTCCGGTTGGGGGACATTCGGGAGAAACAAAGACTTACCAACGCCTGGCAGCTGAGTTATATTGGGTAGGCATGCGCAAGGATGTAGCCAGATTTGTACGAGAGTGCACAGTCTGCCAACAGAATAAGTACCTGGCCACTACTCCAGCTGGGTTACTGCAACCCATTCCATTTTCGGCGCAAGTTTGGGATGAAGTCACTCTTGATTTTATTGAGGGGCTGCCCCGTTCCGAGGGCTGGGATGCCATCTTGGTAGTGGTGGATCGATTAAGTAAGTATGCTCGTTTTATTGGTTTGAAGCATCCTTTTACTACTGTTTCGGTTGCTGGCATTTTTATTCATGAGATTGTGAGGCTTCATGGTATTCCCAAATCAATTATTTCGGATCGGGATAGAGTGTTCTTGAGTCATTTTTGGAGTGAGTTGTTTAAGCTGCAGGGAACTACTCTAAAACGGAGCACTGCCTATCATCCTCAATCTGATGGGCAAACGGAGGTTGTCAATCGGTGCTTGGAAACTTATCTGCAATGTTTTGCTTCTGGAAAGCCTAGAAGTTGGGCTCATTGGTTGGTCTGGGGAGAATATTGGTACAACACTTCTTTTCATTCCTCCACTCGTTGTACCTCTTTTTGTGCTCTCTATGGTCGGGATCCACCTCCACTTATTCGATATGAGCGAGGAGCTGCTTCGGTGTCTTTGGTAGATCAGTTGTTGGAGGATCGTGATGCTATTTTGGATGACCTGAGAATGAATTTGCTGCAAGCCCAGCAGCGGATGCAACTGCAAGCTAACCTCAAGCGCCACCATGAAGAGTTCAATGAAGGTGACTTGGTATTCTTGAAATTGAGACCATACTGGCAGCGCTCCCTTGCTCAACGTAAATTTGAGAAACTAGCTGCTCGTTACTACGGCCCATTCAAGGTTCTTCAGCGGATCAGGAAGGTGGCCTAAAAGCTGGAACTTCCTCAGACAGCAGCAATTCACCCTGTTTTCCATGTTTCTCAGTTGAGGCCAGCACGTGGGATTTCCTCTTCTTCCCTAGTATTACCATCCCAGTTAACTCTTGAGCTTGAACTGGTGATGGAACCGGAAAAAATGTTGGGAGTACGTCCTAAAGCTCAAGGTCAATCGGGTGAAGTTGAAGTGTTGCTGAAATGGAAGTCCCTGCCTAAGTATGAGGCGACTTGGGAGGATTTTCACTTGATTCAACAACAATTTCTTGATTTTCACCTTGAGGACAAGGTGAATGTTTGGGCGGGGGGGGGGGGGGGGTAATGTTAGGCCACAAGTGCGTTTCACCTATTCTAGGCGCAAGAGTCATTCCAGAAATCTAGATCATAGCTGACGTATAAGAAGTGGTTAGAGAGAAGGGGAGCTAATATGCAATTCTGTTTTGCATTTATGTTAGGGAGTAAGTTTTGGCATTTTGTTAGTATTTGTTGGTGTTCTGTTTTGGCTTGGGGGTGAGGAGAATATAGGGGGGAGGTTAGTGAAAGGGTATGAAAAATATTTGTTTTGTAGTGAGCTTGCTCATTTTGGAGAGTTCTCAAGCCTCTCGAATGCTTGAAAAGTTTGGAACTATTCAGACAGTGAATAAAAGTTTCTCTCACCCATTTTTTTGCCTTTATCTGTGTTGCTAAGTCTATTTTCATCCCAGTGTGTATCAGGCTGGCAAGGATTTCTCAGAGATTGGGGAATTATTTGACTCTGTTTCTTTCATGTCATGATTTTATAGAACAGAAACAGGTCCTAAATATCACAGCAAGTGCTACACAGAACAACAAAACGTATCAGGACACAATTAGTTCAATGCCACCTTCATAATCAGCGTCCACGTGAAGAAAAACTTATAATCTGTACAATTCAGAATGGAAAGGCTACATGAGATAAAACACTACACTAACATCACCTAGGGAATTGACAGACCTGGACAGGTATGGCATGGAGGCAAAAATCTGCACCCAGCAGAGCAGCTTTGGCATCAGCTGTTGCAGTCACATTTTCTGGCAGTATGTGTTCTGGGAAATACTTACTGGGGCCAAAGAAAATTGAAAACCATGATAAGGAAGAAAGATAAATAAACCCGCGGAAAAGGAGTATGGAACAGGAAACAAGAGACGTTAGATCCATAAGAAACCAAAATCTCAAGCCCATTAAAGTCAAGAATGTTATGTTTGTTTTCACTAAGTGGGCACAAGAAAGAATTAAAGAAGTGCCACTGCTAAGTGGAAACTCACCAGTTACAGTGCTTTTCGTTAATAGACTGACATATTTGAGGATCTCGCACAAGCATGCTAACTTCTAGCTGAGCCTTTCTATTAGCAACATGAGCAGCCATTGCCGTCCCAAAAGATCCCCCTCCAAGCACAACCACCTAAAGATAAGAAAATCCAAAAATATGTGTTGCATGTGGGTTCGAATACGAGAGCAGCCACTTATGCAACATAGTGTCAAATGTTATGTATGGATCTAGTATGGCATTTCTTGGTATCTTATAACAAATATTGGTAATTAGATAAATAAAGTAGAATAACACCATAACAGAACAAAAACCGAATTGCATTATGGATCTAACATACAAGGAAACAACATAATCAATATACCTTGACTTAGTATGCTTTTAATTATAAATTCATATAGTAAAAGCCTAGTCACCGAGATATGAAGAATAGAAAGTTATACTTTATGATATTTATTTAAGTTTCAACATGTGTGCGTGAGAGAGAAAGAGAGGCGAATCGATGGGCCCAAAATACACGGTCATTCACCTCAATTGATAATCTTCATCTGGTCCCTTAGGAGCGACGCTTCCTCAAACCATACTCATAGGACCTGCTTATGGGTAACATCGACATCACCTTCCTAGTTGAAAACAAAAATGACAAAAATGAATAAGGAGGAAACAAAGGACGACCATATGCCCATAGAACAGCTTAATGAGCGACATCACAAATCTCTTCATAAGAAATTACTCTACCATTTGCTTAATAAAAAAATCAATTCAGCCACTTAGAAGTAGGTTTAAAAGGTCAAGCCACAAAGTTGATAGGGTGTCATGGGCCTCAACCTACTTTAAGGTGGGTATACACATGATGTAGATCATAATAGCTTTGATACCAAATTGATGTAGATTGTATTAGGGAAGAATTAAGGATGAGAAGGGAAGAAGAAAGGGATGAGAAAAGAAGAATAAGAGGATGAGAATAGAGAGAGAATTTTAAGAAGAACATTCAATATCAATAATCAATCATCAAAGTCTAATCCCTCAACAAATATGTATCCCCTATATATATAAGAAATTCACAAATCCTATATATATAAGGAGATCACAAACCCTAAAATAAATAAATAATCAAAATGACAACTAAACTCTTAAAAGTTAAAAGAAATTACTTAAAAGCTAAATATTAAAAGTATCTAAATAACTATCATAATTAACCTATAATATCTATCAAATTCTTACATGATCCCCATCATTCTCCTCCGAAAAGTCTTCAAAGTAAAAGTACCCCAAGAGAGCAAGATGAAGATGACATAATGCCTCATCTAAAATGAAAGAACCATCGACTTCTTTCCATCGACCATGATAAATGCAAGAATCTCCATCTGTATGATTTCCTGTGAATAAAATAGGAAGCTCTAGAGTACCTTGATTAAGTAGCATGTCCTCCTAATAAAAATTTGGACTAATACTAACATTCAATGAAAAATTAAGCAAATAAGCATTAGATCCAAACTCAAGAATAGCAAAATAATTCACATTAGATTTGAACAATAGGCATTCAATGGGACAAGACATCAGTGACAAAGGAGTAACTATAACACCCTGGTGCTGAAAATAAGAAAGTACAGACTCAATTAAACACTTGACAGTAGGCAAAGAATCAAAGTTAACACTCTCAAGTGAGACAGAATCCAGAATAATGTCAACAATCTCAGATTGGGAAGAATCTGTAACAAAGTCATGATGACTTAGACAAGTAGACATAGAATAGTCACTATTAAATTCTGTAATAAATGACTCGATTGGTTTAATATCTTGCATAGGTGTAGACTCAACAGACTTTTCCACAATTTTCAATATTAATGATGGTTCAAGAATTGACACAAACAAAGACTCACACACACTTTCTTTCGAAATGGACTCTTGTGGGTGCAAAGGAGGAAAACTCTGATATGACGAAACTAAATGAGGGAGTTGGAAGTCCATATGAGTAACATTTTTCTCTTTATTTGATACTAAAATATTTAAATCCTTTGCCACATTCAAATTAGGAAAGCATGCAGAAACAACATGGACATCGCTTAAGTAATCATGATACTCATATGTGGTGGAATTAAAATTGGAAGATATCCTATCAGCAGACTGTGATTGAGAACTCATTAAGGCATAGTTGGATTTCTTATGAAATCTCTCAACCTTTAGAGCATATTGATAGGCTGCAACTAACGTATTAAAAGTGTATTGTTTAACTTACCTACTAATTTTTTGTCTCAACCCAAAAATAAACTGATCAATTGTCCAAGGTTCTTCAACAATATCACACAAGTACATGAGATAATCAAACTGGGCAAAATAATCAGAGACACTAGAAGAATGTTATCTAAAATTGAGCCATTGGTCATAAATTTGATCCATATAGGAAGTAGGCAAATCCTTCTCTTTCAATTTTATATCTCATTTCAACTCAAGTGATAGATGATTCTCCTAAGGGGTTTAGGCTTCTTTGGATTGTTTGCCAATACTTCTTGGCGAAACCCTCCAACATCAATTTAGCAAAACGGACGCAATGGGATCCGACATGCCATGCCAATCAAAATATTCTTCTAAATTAGCTAACCAATCCAAGAATTGATTGGGATGCGGTGTACCACAAAATGTAGAAGGATCTTTGATTCGTTTGGTCATATGGGTTGACTCATGTAAACATTCTTTGACTTCTTATGATGATGACATTGAAGAGAGATTTTTGAAACATGCGTATTAGAGAAACTCATGAGTGACTCTTGGAACAAGAGAATGATGCCAAAACAAGTTCAAGAATGTAATTGACAAATAATTTGGATCCTTTGCAAATTTTTTTAATTTTTCAATGAATAAAAATATCAGTTTCAATTTTCTATAGGAGTATGCATACCATAATAAAGAAGAAATTCTGAAATTTTTTGGGAATGATTCTGCAATTTTATGGATCTGTTGGGAATATTTTTTGTAATTCTGGAACTTCTGGGGGGAAAATTCTGCAATTTTTGAAACTTCTAGTGGTGATTCTGTAATTTTTAAACTTTTCTGGTAGTGGTTCTGCAACTTCTGAAATTTTCTGGAATGTTTCTATAATTTCTGAAGACCTCTTGGGATGTGTCTGTAATTTTTGAAACTTATGGAGATGTTTTCTGTAATTTGCTGAATTTGCTGGAAACTTTGGTTCAAAACTTAACCCACCAGGCTACTCTTATAGCGACGAAATATGATAAAAAAAATTTGTTTCCTCCTTTTTTTATCTTTTATTGATGAACAGCGTTTTTGGATGAACAATATTCTTTTTTGATGAACAGTACACGGATGAGCAGTGCACCCCCCGTGAACAGTGTGATGAACAGTAACTTTGTTTTTTTTTTTTTTTGAATCGAAGTTGGGCTCTGATACCAAATTGATGTAGATCGTGTTAGGAAATAATTAGGGATGAGAAGGGAAAAAGAAAGGGATGAGAAAAGAAGAAGAATGTGATAAGAATAGAGAGAAAATTTTAAGAAGAACATTTAATATCAATAATCAATCATCAAAGTCTAGTCCTCAACAAATATGTATCCCCTATATATATAAGAAATTCATAAATTCTATATATATAAGGAGATCATAAATCCTAAAATAAATAAATAATTAAAATGATAACTAAACCCTTAAAAATTTAAAAAAATTATTTAAAAATTAAATATTAAAAATATCTAAATAATTATCATAATTAATTTATAATATCTACCTAATTTCTACACGATTCTCCGACACATCCCTTGACATGTTGCAAAACGGCTACAAATATATCAAAGCTCCCAAGGGACCCCACAGGCCTCACATAACTAATTTATAACATAAATTCTCTATTTCTGATTGAATTACTCCTGTCTTGTCCTTTCCTGTCCTGTCTGTTTCTAGTTTGACCTCGACACAAACGCATAGGCACGCGCACAAGTACACATGCATTCACAGTTATGAGGTAGAGGACAAGCAAATCATTTGGAAGAGTTTTGACATTGCAACTTCTGTATAGCAATAGTAGGAAAGAAGAAAAGTTAGGGGTCACATAGCGACAAGAGAGCAAGAAGTAATGTGGACTGCCAGAGCAATATGCAGCTCTGGTGCAACAGCAAGTGTGTCTCAAAATGGCAAAAGTGAGAAAAACAGAATGTATCAACATCGAAATAGAACTAAGCAGAATTAAAATCCACGTAGATTTTTCAATATTGCCGGGATTCTTGATAAGCATTTCCAAAGATTAGGGTGTCTCAAGCAGATTCAATTTGACTTTGATCTCTACGAGGATCAGTTCTCAAGTTCAATTTGACTTTGATCTCTACGAGGATCAGTTATCAAGATAGATAGATAGATAGATAACAGCCCTGCCAATGGCAATTCCAATAGTAGAAAAGTCAGCATTTCTCCACAGTCTATTAGCGTCCACTCAATGGAGAGTAAAATATGCCTTACATTTGTTTTGGAAACAAAAAGTATCGGATCACGCTGTCCATAACAGAAAATAAGGGGAAACTTACTACAATATTTCAGCAAAAGAATCATACATTCAACAGAACTGTGAAACCACAATCACAAAGAGTTAAGAGGTAGATGACAAGCAAATCCCTTGGAGGATTTTGGACGTCACAACTTATGTCTAACAACAATAGGAAAGAAGCAAAGCAACCGGTCACACGACATCAAAAGATCAAGAAGTAAAGTGGACTGCCAGTGCAATAAGCAAGCTGTGGTCAAAATGGCAAGTGCGTCAAAAAATGGCAAAAGTGAGAAAAACAGCATGTATTAACTCGACATAGAAATATGCAAAATGAGAATATAACTAGATATTCCAATATTACCGGGATTCTAGATACACATTTCCAAAGATTAGGGTGTCTCATGCAGATTCAATTTGAATCTGATCTCTACAAAGATCAGTTACAAAAATGTCATTTTTTTCCAAATATGTGCATGCGGGCGTGTGCGTGCATATGTATATCACAAAGATAATCATCAAGGGAGTGGAAACAAAAATATATCTATCTATCTACCTACCTACCATTATTTGTTTAAATATTTCAGAAAGATAATAAACACTAAAAAGCAAGGTTGTGGAAACAAAATCAGTCCATCAACCCTTCCAATCAGTGTTTTAAAACCCGGTCCGGCCCGACGGGTTGACCCGGTGACCTGGTGAACCGGTCCCTTAATCGGGCCGGTTTTGTAATTGGACTGTTTGAGCAAAGAACCCGGAATAAAATCGGTGAACCGGTGAAAACCGGACCGGGTTTATAAAACCGGCCGATTTTGTTCCTTTAGTATAAATATGTGTTTTTTTTTACATTTTTGTGTCTTTTTCTTTTCCCTTTCTTTTTTGCCCTAAATTCTAAATCATTCGTTCAGTGTTTGTTAACTCAAAAATTAAGTGAATACAATTAAGTGATTCAAGTTTGAGGGTGGAGGCTGGGCTGTTAATTGAATGCATTAGTTTATTAATTGAATGCAATAGTTTATTAATTGAATACAATTAAGTGATTCAGACTTGATAACTTTGTTTGATTTAATATATATTAAACATGTTATTTATATAACTATTTTAATTTTTAGTCTATTTATCATCATTAATAATTATTTTTTATTTTTTTATTATATCACCGGTTCGACCAGTGACTCAGTGGTTGAACCAGAAATTCATTGACCCGGTCCCTTCTTCGAATTGGTGTCCGGGTCGGATTTTAAAACTAATGCTTTCAATAGTGTAAAAATAGCAGCCGACAGCCAATTGTCACCTTCAGCCACTCCAAACGTGATTGATTTCCAATTTCAACCCAGACAGAGAAATACATATATAAATACCTACATACAATCCAGCACTTCACACCAGAAACCATTCAATGGAGAGTCAAAAATTACTTTCATTTGTTTGTAACCAACCAAGTACGCATCGAATTATACAATTCACAACGTAAAAATAATTTGCATATCACAATGTTGTCGCAAACAGAGACGAATATTCTATGAATGCATGCAGTGCTTTACTAGGACTCCAAGTGAGGCAAAAATTAAAAAACAGTCAACACATTGCAATGGAATCATAAATATACTGAAATTAAGAAAGATGATGAGAATCTGTATCTAATCTAACCCACTTTGTTAGTGCGGCCAAGGACGTCGTTCGTGGCAACCTTGGACTGCCAAGAACGTGACCACCGGACCAGCTTCTCCCAGGCCAGCCGCACCACTCTCCGGTGCTCTGTGGTTGAAACTGGGTCAGTGTCGGAAATGAGGTCGGGGTTTTGGGAGGGCGGTGGCAATGGTTTGACTGTTTCATCAACAAAGCACATGCACACACCGGAGTAATTTGAGGAAGAGTGAAGAACAAGGACTGAATTGGGGTTTGAAGGGAATTTTTGAACTAATCCGAGATTGTGAGGTGATTGAACTGACTGAGTTTTTGGGAACAGTGGGTTTGTAAGTGCGGACTCCATTAGCGATGCCATTGCTTCACACACTACACACACTGGCTCACAAACACATGCACAGACACAGGAAGAGAGAGAGAGAGAGAGAGTTGTATACTTGTACCTATTTGGTGTGCTCCTTCCACGCGACCTCTCTGCTTGTCGTTCGCATGTGTATGTCTGTTCTGTAAATTCATTCAATGACAGGTCAGTGAAAGGAGAAATGAAAGTGATTCGATTCTAAGACGACGTTTTTTTTTTTTTTTTTGGGTAAATTGTGTCAATAGTCTCTAAAGCTTACCATTTATAGTATTTTAATTTTAATTTCGTTAATTTAATCAATGTTCACATGTAGATAGGGATTTCACTAGATCAAAGCGGGGGTGGAGGGTATAGTATCCATCCCCATATCTGCTTAAAAAAATTATGTTCATCTTTATTAACGGGTATAATTTTTATCTTCATTGGATAAATTTATAATCCATGCCCTTGTCCTGTCCCCCACCTTCACCTCCGCCCCCTTGTTCACTTTATCTATTCAAGCTTAAGTTCACGTCCAATGTAAAATTCTAAATAAATTTAATATTTTAAATAATCCAACATAATTATATAATATCATAACATAATTAAAAATTTGTCATTTATAACATAATATAACTAGTTATTGGTTGTGCCTGAAAGTACAGAGTAATAAAAAATAATAAACAATAAACATATACTACAACAAAAATTATATTTTGTGACAATTTTTTTTGTGGCTAAATTAAAAAAAATCGTCATCAATTATTTTTTGCGGCAATTTTTTTTCGTCGCGTGTTCGTCGCAACAGCCACGTCGCAAAAAATATTTTGTGACGTAATTTTATTTTCATCACAAAAAAAAAATTGAAATGAAAAAAAACGTCGCTAAAATTTCAAAAAACATAGCTAAAATCTAGTCCACCAGTGTAAAAAATTAAAAATAAAAAAATAATAATTTAATTATTTTTTAGTGACGTAAAAAAATCGTCGCAAATAACTTTTTACATAAATAAAAAAATATAAAAATAATAATTTAATTATATTTTAGTGACGGAAAAAAAATCGTTGCAAATATTTTTTTACATAAATAAAAAAATGTAAAAATAATAATTTAATTAATTGTTCGCGACGTAAAAAAAGCACCGCAAATAATTTTTTTATAAATAAAAATGTAAAAAATAATTAAATTAATACATTTGCGACGTATAAAACTCGTCAAATATCCATTAACGTAATCTACATACAAATTTCCCAAAATATTTTAATACATAACCAAAAGATAATTTGTAAGTCACTTTAATGAAGAAATCCAGAATTCATCTGTTACAAAAAAAGAAAAAAAATACAATAATAAATTATCAATCGAATTTTAAAAAGTATCATGGACGCATTATGCCTGGACTCCACCATGGGAACATCAGCTCCAATCAACATGGAGATATGCAGAACAAAAATTGGAAGGAGAGCATAATCTTCACTGCCAGCTAACAACCACTTCAGGAAAATGAACACAATTTGCTCTTTTAATAGCTTCTATCCTACATGAAAAAAAGGTGACAATATGCAAAGGTCACTCCAATAGACAGAAAACAGAATATTTTAACACTGGGTCTACTATATAGTCTATATTCCTTCAACAACACATTTTAAATAGCTCATTTAACAAAGAAACAGAACTTACATGTCCCCTCCTTCACAATACCCTATAATGATGCACACATAACATGGATTTCTCAGAAGTTATGAGACACAAAACATCGTACCAAACAAATTTAAGGCTTCAAAAAGAAGCAAAAAACTTGAAAAAATGAAGCAAATTTAACTGATCTAGCAGCATATCTAGTAAACCCCTATCAAAGATTACTTGAATAAGACAGATGAGATTCGTTTGGCTTTCTTTACATTCATGTTGACAATTTAGGCAGCTTCTGAAGCAATCAGACCTCTCTAACCATGGATTAAAGGCATTGTTGTTCTTTCGAATTGATACGATACTCAAAAGATGCTTCCTAAAATCAACAATATATATAGTTTGATAGTTTATAGCAATGTTACATAGAACATCAACTAACAGAAAACAGTAGGTTGCGTATTTTGCAGTGTAAGTTGGGCCATATTACAAATTAGGTATACCCACCTCAGGGGAACTTACCCATTTAAACTCAACATTCTCAGCCAACACTCACCACTTTAAAATAAACAAAAATTCAATTCTTCTGACAAACCTATACCTAAAAACATATGGACACATCCTCACCACACGATTACACGAGGACACTGATGTATACCTCACTACATAAGCACAAAAGACAGGGGCTAAGCCATGTCACTTCAACTCAATGCTTCCCTTGATGATGCATTGAAGGGGCAAGTTAACACACATTACACAGTAGGGCCAGGTTGGGGGTGACTGGTGAGTCAGTTTTGTGAAAGAATCAGAGAATTAATGTTTGAATAATGAATATAGTTTCCCAACCTACTGCCTATTAGATAGACATGACAGCATAAGAACATGATAACTAATTTTTTCCCATGACTAAGGTTCAATTTACTAGGTTGCTATTAATCTATTTTATATTCTTTGCATTCATGTTTAAGAATATTTCTCCTTGATAGAATTATTTGTGAACACTCTGAAAACAGATATGCAACTGGTATTGCATGGTTGCAATTCACTGTGTACTACATAGCATTTGAATATTTCTGCTTGATCCTAGTGCTGAACAATCAATTTTTTGTGGATATTGTTTAGGAAGAATTATTTCTCAGCCAATACTTGACATTATTTACACATAATTTCAGAACCTTGGTTATAAAGCATCCGCATAGCCAAACCAGAAAGCCCCATTTATATTTTCAGGAAAAAAACTGTATAATAAGTAACAGGATTTGCAACTTTTCCTCTGAAAGACGCCATCTCATCTACAATATGGCTAACTTTAAGTAATAAAGGGGGTGGAGAACAGTGGACTCAACAAAGGTTTTTTTCTTTTACTGAAAGAATCTTTAAATGGGTAAGAAATACAGAAAATGTCATCTGAACATTTAACAGGACACAGATGCCAAGATAATTGCACAATAATACAGTAAGTAGGTTAAAGAAATCCTGATCACAAGAAATAAACACAAATCACTAGTAAAATGGTCTGTCTCACATAAGAATATGCACATACCTTTTCTACCCAGGAATCTTTGTACTCCACAATATATGGATTTTACACCTTAGAAATAAGCTCCATCTGCACAGAAAGGAACCAATGCAGCATATTTGGTAACAAACAAAACCCATAACAAATAGACAATTTAGGACAATTGTCAACATGCTTTAGTCCAAGTTAGCGGATCGTGTCTAGAATTGTCAAGCCTAAGTCTAACTAAGTGGAACAATAAAGTTGGCCATGGTTTCTTGGTCCACACTAATTTTTGCTTTGTTTTTCCCTTTAATCACGAGTGAAATAGGCACGCGAAACACCAATTTGTCACTTGCTAAATATAATTAATTAGCTCCACTATTCTTGTCATCTTCTTAATTGCTATAAGTCATACAATGCAGAAGAGTTGAAGGAAAAGTAGCAAAAGTAAATTTGAGTTCACATTTTACTCAAGTTAATTAGGAAGAAGAAACAAAAAGAATGTGTTTGGGAAAGCAGTAAAAGCATATTCAAGTTCACCTTTATAAAAGTTAAATAAATGGTAATCGCTATGTATGTACCATGTCCACCATTCCATTTCCAACTCGCTCGATTAAAAAACCTTTGCTGCCTAATTCTCCAAGCTGGAACATATTGCTGAAAACCTCAACTACATTAAAAATCAGTCCAGCTGAGATATACCCAAATTCTGAAGCTAAAACCAACTGAGCAGTCCAAGAGACGTGAACGGTCATATAGCCAAAATACTCTCAGTAGGAGAATGAAAATTCCAACTGGAATTAGCAGGTGAAGGAGAAGAAAATCAGTTGACAGAGTGACGAAATCCCTGGCAAAAAATAACATAACAAAAAATGATTTTTGTTGTAGTAATATTTGTATTCATAGTCAAAATCAAATCACAAATATAGAAAAGAGATAAATGAATTTAAGTATCATTTTGTAGTGGCGGGTGGCAATGGTGGTGGTAGGAGACGATGATGGTTGTGGTGGGTTGCAATGACCGTAGTGGCGGCGGTGATGGTGGAGGTGGTGGTGGTGGCGGACGACGGTGATGGTGGTGACGGTGGCGGTGGCAGTAGTGGTGGCGGTGGCGGTGGGGGCAGTGGTGGTGGTGGTGATAGTGGCAACAGCAACGATGGCGGTGGCTATGAGATCCTGAATTTTCTAATAAAATGATTGAATTTAAGTAAGTAGAAACAATGTAAAGTTTTGTGAAAAAAAACATAATTAATATTAAACATTTAGGCATATCTATAATTAATGAAAGTAAAGGGTTATAAACCGTAATTGAAGCTCCTCTTTTTGTTGGCTGGTCATCGTTAACGTGAATGGCCTACATTAAGAAGACAAAAGAAAAAAGATAAATGAAGGAAAAAAAAATTAGATAACAATGGTGAGGTGGCGGTTATGACTAGCGTAATGAAAGTGTGTGTGCTGTCATTTATGCTCCGTTTAGTACGATAAAAAAATAGGATGATAAAAAATTCGAAGGATGAAAAATTGGAGGGATAAATAAAATATCATGTTTAGTAAAGAAAAAAAGTAAGAAGGATGAAAAAGTAGATGAATTAACTTTCCTTCCAACTCACCAAAATCAATCCCTTCAAAATCGAAAAAAAAGTGAATGGAAAGTTAATTATTTGTGTTGAAATGTATCTTATTTGTTTATATATCTTTTTATATCATATAAAAATACAATAGTAAAATATGTGTGTGTATATATATATATATATATATATTTTAAAAATAAAATAAATTAAAAAATTTTAAATTTTAAATTAAAAAAATATTTTTTTCATCTTAACTAAGAGTGAAAATTTTCGACTCAACACGATAACACGACTCGAACTCGATACGAAAATAAACAGATCAACTCGCAACTCGACACGACACAATTAGTTAAATGAGTTAAGTTAGATTTGATTAATATTTGACACAAACTTGTAATGACTCAATACGAATCTGATACTACACGACTCAATTGTCATCTCTAATTTTATCAATCATAAAAAAAAAATAGTCATTTTTATTTTTCATCCATCCAACCAAACAAAAAGAAAAAAAAGTGTATTTTTCTTATTTTTCATCCTAGAATGATAGAAAATGTATCCCTCCTACTTTTTATCCTTTCTACTTTTCATTCTACCTACCAAACGGAGCATTAGAGAAAGTGTGTGTGTTGTCATTTAGAGAGAATGTTAGAGCAAATATTCTGTGTGTGCTTTGGAAAGAGCAAGTGGATGGAAACATAAGGAAAATAATGAAAGTTTTAAGTTGTGGTCGAAAATAAAGAACATGGGAAAGAGATCCAAATAGAGAAATTTACAAGAGAATTGAATCGAGGTTTTTGATCCGATCTAACTGAAGTTCAAGTATGATATTCTTGAGTATTAGATATTGAATTCTACTGAGAATTTTGTAAGTGGTTTATACATGATATGCACTCCTTTAATCTATTTGCAAAGATTATTTTATTGATATCGTCCTATTTGTATTCGAATTGTGATATTGTTTGGGTTTGAATTTTGAAAAAATATTTCTTTTAATTGTTGATATTTCGATGTTTGGTCATAATTTTTGTTTGAATCGTCGTTAATTGCTATGATGTTAGCTTTGGTGGAATACTTAAGATTTTTCTAACTCGTGCATGAAATATATTTGGTGGCATGATTATGATTGTAATTCGTGTTCGTGACCCCGTGGGATAGACATGATTGAATTAAAATGCACCGAATAATGTCTAGCTTGTTGTCGGGATTGACCAAATGTTCAATTATGGTTGATTTGATTGTTCAAATGTTCGAATTCACTGACTTGTTCAATATATTTGTACTCTGTAAATTATCGTATTAATTCTTGTGTCATTAAATGATTATCAATTAGTTGATAAATTATTGGGTCGCCCTTTGACTTCGTATATTATGTTTTAAATTACTTACTGAGCTTTCCCCAACTCACCCTCATTTACCATCTCAGTTGCTGGTTGAATTTGGAGTAAAATTTGGTGAAAAATTGGGTTGATCAATGAATGAGAGATTTCGATTAGTTATAATTTAAATAGTTATCGAGAGATTATTTATTCATTTTTTAGGTAATTAGCACTTTGAATATTGCTAAATGGATTGGAGTATTACAGTGGCGACAGTGGCAGCGGCAGCGGCGGTGGTGGTAGAGATAATAGTAGAGCGGTTTCAAATACTATTTTTTTAAAGTATTTATGATAAATAATTTATAGAAGTATTTTTAAAAAGTTACTCCAAACACACCTTTATGAGTCTATTTTTCCTATTAAATATGGTGTTAATATTAGTCGTTAGATTAACTTTAAAGTAAAATTTAAAACGATCTGAACCGCGAATAACAAAAATTATTTTGCTTATCTTATGAGATTTAAATTTTAAGTTACTTTATTATATAGATTAAAACATTGTCTATAACATAATATAATATAATATAATTAAAAGTTTGTCTCCCTTATAAATCCAACACAATATTTAACATAACATAATTTAACACAAAAAAAATATAAAAATATAAAGATCTACACTTTTACAAATCTTCATTCTCACACGGGTTTATACGAGTTATCTTCGTATAAGTCTACAATTCAATACCTATGGTCCATTCCCGATCTAAACAAAACAGATTTAGATGAATACTCATTTTTCTCTAATCCACTGTCATCCCTATATGTAAACCTATTTTAATCCTTTGCCTTAGTAGCCGTTAATATTAGTGACAAAAAATCATCACGTGCATCGCATGTCCCTACTGATAAAGATAATTTGGTCATTTTTGACATGTTAAAAAATGAAGAAATAGAACAACATTCTCTCTTATTCTATTAAATCTTCTCTCCTAACCTTTTCCCTGTGACAACTGGTGAGTGGCGAACAGCCATGGCGCCCTCCACCACCACCAGGCCACCTCCACCATTCCAAGAAGACCATCTCTCTCCCTCCTTTCCCCGTGTCTTTGTCTCTCTTTTCCCCATCTCTTTCTCTCTCTCACACACACAAAATAATGAAAATAGTAGAAGAAAAGGAGTCCACGTCTTCGAGTTTGCCTCTTCAAGGTGATCATGTCAAAGATCCAGCAAATTCTCCCCGAAACTCTCCCAATTTTTCCACTCGCAAGGTATAGACAATCTCTCTCTCTCTCTTCAACACAACTCGCGCCTCCTTCAACCTTAACCTCTGTTGTAACTCGCAATCACGCTTCCACACCCATCGAACACCAATCAACCCGCCAAGCCAACTTTCATGCTCCGTTTGGTACGATGAAAAAGTTAGAGGATGGAAAGTTGAAGAGATAAAAAAAACATCATATTTGATAAGGAAGGAAAGTAGGAAGGATGAAAAAGTGAATGAATTAACTTTTCTTCCAACTCACCAAAATCAATTCCTCCAAAATCGAAAGAAAAATGGATGAAAAGTTAATTATTTGTGTTGAGATGTATCTTATTTGTCTATATATCTTATGTATACATTAATTTCATATAAAAATACAATGATAAAATATGTATATATATTTTAAAAAAATTTTTAAAAAATTAAAATTAAAAAAAATATTTAAATAAAAAAAAATATTTTTTTCCATCTTAACTAAGAGTGAAAATTTTAAACTCAACACGATGACACGACTCAAACTCGATACGAAGATAAACAGATCAACTCGTAACTCGATACAACACAATTAGTTAAATGAGTTAAATTAAGTTTGACTAATATTCGACAAAAACTCGTAACGACTTAACACGACATGACTCGACTCGATTGTCACCCCTAATCTTGGCCAGCACAAAAAAAAAAAATTAAAAAAAAAAATTATTTTTATTTTTCCATCTATCCAACAAAATACAAATAAAAAAAGTGTATTTTTTCTACTTTCTATCATTGAAGGATAGAAAGTGTATCTCTCATACTTTTCATCCTTGTTATCAAACGGAACATCTATATCTCAAATACCCATCGTTGTCTCTCTCTCTCTCTCGCTCTCTTTCTCTTTTTCTTTCTCTTTTTCTTTATCTCTCTCTCCATTTCTCTACTTCTCACCCTCACGAGTACACCACCACTCCACCTGCCCCCACCAAAAACTCTCTCTAATTCTCTCCTCCACCGATTTCTTTCCGTATTATTTTTTAATTGTCATATCTAGGTTAGGTTTTCATTGGATTGAATTATGGGTTTGTAAATAGGTTGAAGTAAAATTCTATAGGTGCTTGACTAAAGTGGCAGAATTTCAAGTGGTGGTTCATGGTGTGCATGTGTAGCAGCATGGTGGCTGCATAAAGGGGTGGTGGGTGTAAATTTATGGCAGTGGCTGTGCACTGAATTGAGATTTTGCATTTTATTTTGATTTTTATTTTTAGTCTGATTTTAATTTCGATTTGTAAATTTAATTTCTATTGAATGATGAATTCGACAGACTTGGATCGAACTCGCATAAGCTCAGTTTGATTATCTTGATTATCAACAGTAAGGTTGAGTGGATATAGTGATTGGTTCTATGTCTGAAATCTATAGCTGCAGCCCCGCAGATCTCCAAGCAGAAACAGAGGTTTGGATTAACAGAAGCTAAGGTAAACGCTCAAGAGACTGGAACTGAAACTGTATCTCTTGTCATGATTTTATCACTTCATTTTTTCTTTTCCTTTTTTGGCATTTATATATAAGGATGTGGGTAGTCTTGATTTTGCTTAATGAGTTCTGGGTCTTTGCTATTTTTTCATAACCAGGTTAAAGAAGAATATGGTTCATCATCATGGAAGCAATAAACCCATATGATGATCCATTCCTGGCAGGTTGTTGCTGCCCTTGTTTGCTAGGCTCCTGTGTATTCAGATCACCTGGTAGGTGTGCATTTTTGTTGCTTGTCACCCTGTTTTGCAGTGCTTTGGATGGTATGATCATAGGGCATCACCATCAACACCAAAAGCATTTCAACAAACCAAAAATCCCATTCTACAATCAATTATTACTCAATAGAACTTGCTCTACATGCAAAATTCATCACCTAATCAACCGCATTTCAGCTCTATAGTTCAATCTCAATGGCAAAATTTTAAAGAAAAAAAAGTACGCATTAAGACTACTAATCTAGTGCATCCGTATGCAGGAAGAGGGTTAGATTTAATTAGCTAAAAAAAACTCTATTCATAAGTAAATTACAAGAAAAAAAAATGTATTTTAAATTTTTTTTTGGGTGGGGGGTTGGACCTACAAAAATATAGTGTAAAAATTTTCTGTAATGAAGTCCACAGTAAATGTGATTACCGTCCACATTTCATCATTTGGCATCTCAACTTCTTAACATCTGATTGCTTGAGGGGCTTCAACATGAACATTTGAGCTCCTTCTTCTAAGCATCTGTTCAAGCATGAAGGTGTTAGAAAGGTTGAATGACAAACTAATGGAACAACATTGAAGAAAACATGGGCCAGTAGTAATTACTTGTTGATTCGAGTTGGGATGTTCTCTGATGACATTACTACAACTGGAACTTCACTCATGATAGAGGACTCCTGCTTACAAGAAGACACAGATGGTCAAGATCATGTCACTGGACATAAAAATTCTCAAACTGCAGAAAGGAACTTATAGATGGGGTTGCAACTTGCAATAGTAATTAAGAAGAGGGAGCCAAGTTCATGAGCCACTGCAGGTTTTTAGAGTTGGATGTACACAACCTTTTCCCACATCTAGAGAGACTATTTACACGACTAGAACACCTAGGTTACAATGGATCAACAGAAAGGAATTTATAAATGGGGTTGCAATAGTAATTAAGAAAAGGGGGCCAAGTTCATGAGCTTCTGCCTCTGTGGGCTTTGAGTAGAGTTGAATGTACACAACATTTTCCCGCATGTAGAGAGACTATTTATGCGACTAGAACACCTCTAGGTTACAATGGATCAACGTTAATCTTGCGCAAAAATTCTTTCCCTCAAGGTTGCAATTGTAATTATAAAGTTAACAGAAATTAAAGAAAATTATCTCATGAAATTCATAGTACCTTAATTTTCTTAAGCAGTTCATATCCTGTCATTCCTGGCATGCAATAATCTGTGATTATCAAATTTATCTTTGAACCCTGCAAAAAATACTTTTACAAGACAAATACTCTCTTAGAGATGAATTGTGGTAAAACCATCATTTATATTGAATCACAAGACCCTGCCTGAACCTCACAAATTTAGATAGAGCTTGTGATTTTTTTGTGGATATGTACACCAATTTAATGGTCCATAATAAGAGAAACGATTATAAACATACATCCAGATCGATGTATGTCTAGAGGAAGCTACTTACATTGCCATTCGATCTATTTTGATCATCTCCCAAGCCCAGATATTCCAATGCTCTTAACCCATTCTCTGCTGTAGTCACTGTAGAAAATCATAAATCACTAACTTCCTCAAATCATCATAAATTAGCAAGCTATTAATCCCATAAATGTGTCTTAGGAAGGATGAATTGGATTAAGACATAGTCCTTGTGTTACAATCCCCGTTAAAAATAAGATGACATGTGTGTATGTGAATTCTGGATTACCCTTTTCTTGCAAACCGGTTGTCAGGTGGTAAGTTTTACCCATGGATTCTTGGTATTAGAGCTAGACACCACGTCATGGGTTCATCTCAAGAAAAGGGCGATCTAAAAGCTGGATTAAAATGTACTTGGTATTATGGATGGATGTAGTGCAATATCACGTTAAATAATAATAGGTGAATAGAGCCACCAAAGAAAAAGAGCTACTATTGAACTAATGTTAATATAGTGGGCTGCCGTGAATGTCAGCTATGGAAACATGGTAGAATATTATGATCTTAATAAGATTAGATATGTATATATGAAATCTTGTACACCCTTCTCTCGCAAGCCGGTTTTCAAGGGTATAACACCATGACAGGAGTGGTGTAATCTAAACGAAAACTAAGTAGATTGCATAAAAAACATGGTTTTCTCTGGGGGAAAGTTGGGTTCAAGTTATCATAATAAAAATTCAATGCGGCCTCAATTACAGGGGAATAGCGGTCATTACCTTTGCAAGAGGAGTTCTTCAGCAACTTTTCGACAAGTTTACGATCAATGAGACTGTCATCAACAGCAAGTACATGAGGTACTTCCCCATGATCCACCATTCCCTTTAACAAAGAACCAGAACCACCAGCAACATCCATGTCCTCTTTTCAAGCCAATAAACAAAACCCCACTGCTAAATCTATCCAAGAACCAAAAACAACAGCGGCAACAAAGAAGAAAATGAAGGGGATTCCGGCGGAGATCAAAAGATAAAGTAAATAATAATGGAGGTATCAATGCGTTGTGGGGCTTGGTTTTTATAACAGAAGGTGTTTGAGAAAATGCGTGAATGGATCTTCTTTGGGAAAGATGTGAGGGGATACGAATCAGCAAAAGATAAAATCAAAGGGGTGGTCACAGATATTTCGTGATCCTTTTGGGTTCTCTCTCGATTCGATGCACTTTCCCCCACCCCCATATCTTCTTCTTTCTCTCGTGTATATTTCTCTGATCTGTATCAATATCGGTATCGGCATCCATATCCGTATCAGTATCTGCCCCACTGCTACATGAGATCCTCTCTATCCAGCTCATTCCCTCCCCTCTACTCTTTTGTCTTCTTTTTTAAATTCACTTTTCTTTTTTCTTTTCAAAGCCGAAAATTATGGTCTCCGGATGAATTTACGAGCCCAAATCAAATCTATCGTGGTCATTTGTTTAGACGAATTTATATATAAATAAACTAAATTTTTGTGAGATTGAATCAAACTTTTTAGGTTAATTTAAAAATTGTTCAAGTTTGACTTATTTAAAAAACAAATTCAAGTCGAACTCGAACTAAACTCTAAATAAACCGAGCCTGAGTAGTTTGACTCAGTTATTAACCCTACCAAAAACTACTCCCAACATTGTTATTTAGTCATTAAATTTTTCTATATTTCAAACAATCTTTCAAGATGTTTTGAAAATACTTTTTTATAAGTTTTATATATTTCAATTCTATTTTTAAAAATATTTTTGAAATATTGGTGAAAATATGCAGAAACATCTCAAACATTTTAATATATTAAAATTTTTAATTCAATCACTGATTCGTTTCAATCTTCTTAAAAAACGTTTCCACAATTTTGAAATTAAATTTTGATCATTATAATTAAGTATGCAACTAATTTTTTTTATCCTTAAATACACATCTAATTGGACTCTAAGCTATTGCCCCAATAACATTTTGTCCCACTATTGTGGAATTTCTCAAGTATTCACTCTATTATGGAATGTGTCATATGGTTCAACTGAAATTTTTCAAATTTTGTTCATTATTTTTGTGCAAGTAATTTATTCCCATTAATTTGGTTATGGTGATAGATTCTAAATTCTAATCATTCTAAATAACTTTAAAAAAAAACCTTTGATTATTTTTTTTTTTGGGGTGAGGGACCTGAGAAGCCTAATATCCCCATATGTCTCATTTCTAAAATTTATAAAATATTTAATTACCTCCATCCAATCAAATTGTTTATTTTTATTGACAATAATCTTAGTAGTTTTTAATTTATTGATTATAATTTATAAGATCAGCAATTTCGTACCATTGACAAGTCAAACACTTGCAAGGATACGAACATCGCGATTTCAGCATCTGTAGGCGCTATTGAGATACGAACATCCACGACTACGTTTAACCTTTTGTCACATTAAAAATCTAATTAAAAATCGTAGACTTCGTTACGAGGCAAATTGACCTTTACTTTGGTGACCTAATCGAACAACTACGTTTGGAAACCTTTGGGTACGTAGGTGAGGATAATAAGATTAAGAGTCAAGGGTTTTCAACTAAAATTGATGGTGTATTTAAACGTGGATGAGTTTAAGATGCAAATAACGGGAGATGAGCGTGGATCAGAGTTTTGAGGCTCGTGTATGATGCTACAACAAAATATTGAGGGGATTAAAAGGGTGTACACAGTAAAAATATAGTGGTTCACTAGCTCGGGAGTTCGGCTAATTCACTATTTAATGAAATTTTTTGCTCTTTCCTTTACTATTTACTATACCAAAAGGTTTACAGAATATAAGATGTGATACTCGAGTTCTCCTCTTCTGTTGGGGGCATTACATAATATTTATAGGGGTGACCCTTAATCTATGGGATCTGATTCGTGATCCTCGCCATCTATTCGAGATTCTTGCCCTTATTTCGTGGGCTTCTCCTTAATTCTAGGAGAAGGTTTTGATTGGTTGAAATTGGATGCCTTGATTACAGCTTCCTAACGCTTTAGGATCCTTTCATGGTTATCCAGCTGTTATCTTATCTTAAGAGACACTCAGCCCTTACCCTCTGACCTCTGCTAATGTGCCTAACCTCCTAAACTTAGCACTTGAAATTTATTTTAGGTATCATCAGTTGCCCCCCAACTCTTGGTCGAGCTGGCTTGGGCAAGGGCTGAGCTTAAGATGTAACAAAATGGTTTCCCAATCAACGACTTCGAAGTTTGCATGGGAATTTTTTTTTTTTTTTGCATGTGGGTGCTCCTGACCTGAACCTGCTTGAATTAACGAGGGTGGAACAAATGACCTAAGCTGAGCTCATGTCTTTTCCTGATCTCATGACGCCAAATAATCTGTTTTTGTTTAGCACCGCTGCAGCTAAACGGGACTTTCCCTTTTTTTTCTTGAATTTGATCTCTCTTCTACCGGGTCTGCTGAGAGCGAAGATGTTGGGACTCATATCAAGAAACACAAGAGGGATGGTTCATCCTTTCTTCATCCAGATCTTTTCTGGGGGAAGTTCTATTTTCCTCTGCTGGATAAAAATTGATGAATCTACTGTCAACGACTGAGAAGGAGAGGGATGAGCTAAAGGAGGAGAACCTGCATTTGAAAGAAAGGATAGCCAAACTGCAGAGACAACTAAGAATTTTGTTTTGGCTGGTTTTTTTGTAATATTTGATGTTCTTGAAACCTTGATTTTCGCTTTCCATGTTTGCCGCTTCTTATACACAATTTGTGGCTTTGAGAATCTGGCAGCTGATCTTCCATGTCGTTTCCTGGCTTGTGGACCAAAGACCCCCATTTTTCCTTTTTGTAATGGATAAAAGCTGTGAAGCTTTTCTTCTAGTCTACGTGCTGCAGGTCTTGCTTTTACTTCTTCTGGACCGGGAAGTGCATTCTGAGTTGTTGCGTTTGCTTTAGGGATAGAAGAACTCATCCTGAGCTACTGAGCTATTTTTATGGACTGATAAGTTCAATGTGAGCTCCAGGGCTCTTTGTGTGAACTAACAAGTTCATCGTGAGCTCTAAGACTCTTATCATGGGCTAACAAGTTCGTCGTGAGCTCCAGGGCTCTTTTTATGAACTAACGAGTTCGTCGTGAGCTCCAAGACTCTTTTTATGACTTAACAAGTTCGTCGTGAGCTCTAGGGCTCTTTTTATGACCAAACGAGTTCATCGTGAGCTCTAAGGCTCTTATTGACGGACTAATGAGTTTGTCGTAAGCTTAAAGGCTCTTTTTATGAATTAACGAGTTCGTCGTGAGCTCCCGTGCTCTTTTTATGAACTAATGAGTTCGTCGTGAGCTCCCGAGATCTTTTTATGAACTAACGAGTTCGTCGTGAGCTCCCGATCTCTTTTTATGAACTAACAAGTTCGTCGTGAGCTCCCGAACTTTTTTTATGAACTAACGAGTTTTTCGTGAGCTGCTGAGCTCTTTTTATGAACTAACGAGTTTGTCGTGGGCTCCCGAGCTCTTTTTATGAATTAACAAGTACGTCGTGGGCTCCCGAGCTCTTTTTATGAACAAACGAGTTTGTCGTGAGCATCAGAGCTCTTTTTATGAACTAACGAGTTTGTCGTGAGCTTTAAGACTCTTTTTATAAATTAACGAGTTCATCGTGAGCTTCAGGGCTCTTTTTATGAGTGAATGAACCACATAGTTGCTGCTTTATTAATAATCATATTACAGGCAAACTTACTGAAAAGAATTTCCTTAGATGTTCTGCATTCCATGAGTGGGGTAAAATTTTTGTCAAGTCTGCTTTCATCCGGGGTGGCCACCTCAGGAATTTTTCATTTTGTACCTTATATAAGATTTGCGATATTGTTGTGGTGAGTGGAGGGACCTGCCAAGGTGCTTACCTCGGCTGCAACTCTAGATGAGGTGGTCCCAAGTGATCTCTGACGTCTCCCTTTTTTTTGGAGGATCGATCTCTGTCTCTCCTTGGGGACCTATCTCGTCCTCTTTCTCTTTTGGGACTTCGGTCTCTCTTTTTCTCTTCTTTCCCTTTGTCTTTTTGCATGGATGAGCTCCCCACTTTTAAGAGGAGAGCTTATTCGTTGTTTATGTACTTTTCTGCCTTGGCCAGTACTTCAGCCATGCTGGCCTGAGAATTTTTCGAAATAGAGAACATCAGGTCTTTAGATTGTACGCCTAAACCAGCTATGAATGCAGTAATGCCAAATTTCTCATCTAGGACATCTACTTTTAGTGATTCAGAGTTGAACCTCTGAACATAGGATCTGAGGTTCTCTTGGGGTCCTTACTTCACATTCAACATGTGGTAAATCAACTTTCTATACGTTCGAGCTCCTATGAAGTGAGATACAAAGGATATGGACAGCTCCTTAAAGGAGGAAATTGAGGTAGGGGGAGCTTATTGAACAACGTTAGGGCTGAGCCTTTCAGCTGGATGGCAAAAGCTCTGCAGCACACTAGATCCTGGTATCCATGCAACTCCATCTGGTTCTTGTAGGTGTTGAGGTGATCTACGAGATCCTTTGTTCCATCGAAAGCGTCTATTTGCGGTATTCTGAATTTCATAAGGAGTGGAAAATGCAGCACCCCAGTGGTGAATGGTGATTCAGTCTGCTGTACCAAGACATCCATGGTAACTGGAGTCCTGCCTCTCACGACTTCTTTTATGTGGCTGAGCTCTTGCTGGATACCCTGGAAGTGCTACTCTCAATATTGTTCTCTCCTTTCTTATTGATAGGAAAAAAAATCGTTTCTCTCACCTCTTTTGTTCTGACTCTGTCCTTCGTCTTTGTGGCCATTCTTGGGGGGTATGCGAGGTTCTAGTCCTATAGTTTGGTTGTTTTCCCCTTCTTCGTTAACTTCTCTGAGGGGGCCGAGGTATGGTTGCTCCCTATATGGGAGGTTGTTCTGGCCTTTTTGAGCCTGTTGTGCCTCCTGTAGGCATTCTAAGAGCTTTAAAAGTTCTTCGTTTTATTTCAGCAAGCGTTGATTAGAGAGGCGAAGAACCTCCATCTCGTTATTCATAGGGAGACCCCCCATTGGAAAATTGGTCTCTTGGACGCTCTCGGGTTTTCTGTTATCAGCAACTTCTTGTTGATCTTGCGCCCGTGGTGAATTTGTTTGACTTCGGTTCATGTTTCACGTTGATACCATCAATCACTAAAAAATTAGTTTGTTTATAATAGGAACAGTCGTTCCCACAGACGACACTAAACTGATGGTGTATTTCAACGTGGATGAGCTTAAGGTGCAAGTAACGTGAGATAAACATGGATCAGAGCTTCGAGGCTCGTGTATGATGCTATAATAAAATATTGAGGGG